AAATATTTAAATTGTATATACTTAAATATTTAAATAATTAATTTAAGTATTAAATTATTTTATAGAATGATGAACAATAGTCATGTAGAATGATGACTAATTAAAAAAAAAATATTTAACTTGATTAATTCATTTATTGCCTGGGTTTAAAACATAAAGTATAGGAAGTATACACGTATATTGTATGTGTATACTTCCTATTATTATTAAAATACATACAGATTAAAATACACAGATTACTGAATTTTAGAGAGGGTTAAAGATACATTGTGCAATATTCATGTTAACATTCACTCATTTTTAGAATTATTAATATTTTTACAGGTGTAAAAAATAATTGTTAAGTATAATGTTTGTTTTTAAATAATCATCCATTTACTAATTACTATGAAGAACATAACTTGGATTATTTCTATTATAATATTTATTCTGATAAGAGTAATGTTCATGAATATGTATATACAAGTAAATATATATTTCATGGGTATTAAAATAGTATAAAATAATAAATGACATATAGTAAACTTGTTAAAATTGTTAACATTTCTAAATTTTTATTATTTATCCATATTATTAAGAAACTAATGGAAAGGATCAAGTAAATAAGTAATGTTAGTCTAATTTCACATGTATTTGATGCTGCATTGCTCTTTTACTTTCACATGTCTCTGATTAACATCCAGATAAATGTTGGGTTTGATTGTGCAGTGGTGTAGAGCTGTATATTTTTGCTGCTGCCATCCAACTACTGAATGGATTGTACAAAAGATTGCAGTGAATTTATGTACACTTCAGTATGTCCAATGCAGATATCTGGCATCAGGCACCAGAAAATGCTGTGATTCTGTCCAGTTATCTTCAGCAAGAGATTTGGTGTCCGGATGCCAGACGAACATGTGAAATTCTCTCATAAGATCCCATGCATTTTGTAATTGAATAGCTGATGCCAAATGGTCTCATCTGGTATGTGTGTGTGGAATGATACTTAGGCTAATTTTAAATGTTCAGTTATGTAGATACTGTTTCTAAAACAATTTAGTGCAAGATAGTGACAAGGAATTTTTTAAAGTCATATTTATTTTCTGTTAAACTTTTAAATTGAAAATTATTTTTATTATTGGATGCCTTTTAAACTTAAGAAAAATATCCAAAAAAAAAAAAACTGTCTTTAAAGAGGTCAAAGGAGAACAGATAAATTTATTTTCCAAACAATTATTTTGATAAATTGTAAATGTTTTGATTTGAATGAAAATAAAATTATAAAAAACTAGCAAAAACTAATATTGCCCAGGGACTCGGGGAGAGGGTTCAGTTCCTTTTTTAATATGAAAATAGAATATGGGTGATCGGTTAACGAACATAATATGTTCCAAGACTTTGTACGTTATCTGGTTATCGACTCACAATAGGTTTTTATGGGAATTTGATTAATTTGTTCCGGAGACTCTAAAAAATAAAAAATATATACTTTTTTACTACATTTATTTATATGTAATAGTAAAAATACATATATATGCAGTCTTGCATTTTTATTAGTCATGTTTTTTCCATTTGTGGGGGTTAAAGAATCTGTCCAATATCAATTGCTTTTCTCTTTTCTTCAGGATTTTTCAGAAGTAATTAATAGTATTGTAATTGTAGAGATTCCCAACCCCATTAACCTTATTCTGGTTTGGATGCCACTTGGATGATCATCGTTCTGACATTCCACTTCTTCAAAAGATCTTTAGTAGCAGATGTCGACATTGGTTTTCTTTTGTCTTCCTCTTTTTCAAATGAAAATACATCTTGCTAAGTTTCTTGGTGTTCTTCATTTGAGAGTTCTTGGAGTTCTTCTGTCGTCAGATCAGTTTCTGTCCATTATGAGATCTAAAATGCTCTTTATTTCTCAGATGTGATTTTCATTACTCAATTAGCAGCTTGAGACTTCTTGATATATCTTTCATAGCTAAGATTGTTCCTACTGTAGACCCGTTCAAGCCATACTGCCTAGCAATATCAGACATCTTGTGCCCACTTTCTACCTTGGCTATTATCTCTTACTTGGTTTCTACGGTGAGCACATTTCTTGACACTCCTCTTTTTAGGCTCTATAATATTATCAGTTTCTTTATTAAATAAAAAGTTTAGAAAAGCACTTACAAAAATTCAGAGAACAGAAATCAACTAGCCTACAAAAAATCATTTAAATGCAAGACCAGGATGAAATTCGAAATTTGGTATTAAAATGTTAATGAATATCCGATGGGACAGTTAAACTTTCGCCTTTCGTAAATAAACCCAGATACAAAACTTAACAAGTGCCCATCTGACAGTCTCGTGGATATTATAAAAAATTATTTGTCAGAAAGGTAAACAAAAAGCTGGAATTACAAGGGAGAGTTTCAAAATTCATTATCTGATTTGTTCCCTATCCAAACTGTTCGTTAACTGATCACCCACTCTATAGCTTATATTCATCTGGACAGAATAAGCTTTTCAATAATGAAATAATTTGAAAATCAATTTAGAAACATACATTCTTGCTTTATGTATTAGAACAGATTGTTTTTATGACTAATTTACATTATTTAATATAAACTTATTGTAATTATAGAGTATAATTATATAATGATTTTTTAAAAATCTCATACTGTATATGATAGTCTCTCATAGCCGAAGTTTGCCCAATTCAGTGGATTCGTCAGATTTCAAGAACTTTGGAAAAAACGTTCTATCTCCCGAAGAAATACTTGAGAAATACAAAGAAGTTATCTCTCATTATAATAAGGTAAGTATTAATTTTAATTATTTTTTAATGTTAATTTTTATCTATGTGTATTAATAATAAAGTGATTTTTTTTTGTAAATTGTTTTTTTTTTTATTTTTAATGGCAACAGAGGGAATGGAATACTGAAAGTATTATATATATAACACAACTTAATGCAAGAGTTGAAATGTTTTACAAATACAGAATTTGTCTAATTTCTTATTTTTTATTTTGGGAAAATAATAATTAGAAAAAACTTTCCTGTCTGCAGCTTAGTAATTATATTAGTCAACCTCTTCAATTAGTAATTAATACCAAAGATTCTGTTTTTTTGATAGCAGTCAATTTTTCAATTTTTTTCCATACTTGATGTTAATACCTTTATCCTTTTTTATAATATTAATCAGATTAGCTTATAAAATTTTAATGAAAGTTTTTATTTGTCATTTTTATAATCATTATTTTCTGTATTAATTTATATGTATTATTCATTTTATGAAGTAAATTATTGATTTGTGAAAACTCGGTTGAAATTATAGTTGCAAGAAATATCCATTTTATAAAGCCAAGTAATTGTTTTAGAAATTTGTTAAATAGTTATTTAGATTTTTTTTATATACATCTTAAAATATGAGGTTAATTCAATAAATAAAGGCAAATTTCATTTTATTGAGATCTAATTATATATACTGATCCATACAACATTCATATTTTTCAACACAGTTACTGTCCTTTGCAATGCACTTTTTACATCTTTAGACAAGCTTCCGTATCTTAGTAGAAAGTCTTTCAGATTGTTGTTTAGGCCACAAATGCACTGCCACCTTCACTTTGTTGTTATTGTGAAATCTTTGTCCTTGAAATGTTTCCGTAAGATTGCCAATGACATTTTAAGGGAACATTGCCAGGACAAAGATGGTAATGTGTCAAAGTTTTGCAACTCTGCATATGGTTCAATTTGGGTTCATCAGTCAACTGTCTCAGCCGTCATCTGGGGTACAGATAGTGATATCTTAGTATCATGAATATGCAGATCCAAAGTTTATGTTTAATTTAGTGACAACAATATCCATAGAAATCCATCCATTCTCACAAATAAGTTCTTCCACACAAGCAATGTTGGCATCACCAATGGTTCTGATTAGATGCTCTGAGCTCTATAGTGTCTAACCACTCATCATGACAGCTAGGCTTTAATGCTAAGTATAAGCTACCATTTGAATAATTGAAGGGAAGACCTCTACTATTTTAATGACAGTTTGGAAAAAGCTACCTGAGTAATGATCAACAATTGATGTTTGGACTGAAATCCTACCTGCAGGTACACTTTCCTTTCACTTATATGGCTTCCACTAACCTGTGAATTTCCTTTGGTTTCAGTTTTTCTGATCACAAAAATCTTTTACATATCCAGGCAATTCCTTAATTCAGGCAGACATCTTGGTTTTACTGAATTACCCTTGTTCATAACTATCTGAATGATTCTTATTGCATTGTATCTTTTTCTTTTTTTAATGCCATTTATTTCCATGATTCATCCAATAACCTAAAGAGGTTTATTAATTAATTTTTATTATTATTAATATGCGTACTTTTTAAAATAAATTTTATTAATGCATCTTTAAGTAGATATATTTATTTAACTTAATGAAGAACATAAAGAAAACATTAAAGCAAGTTAATATATCTGTTAAGTTTTCTCAATGTTTTCCTTGTAAGAATTTATTTACGTGAGAATAGAAATAAAGGAAAATAACTTGCTAATCTAAGAATGTTAAAAACAAAACTTTAACTTTATAATTCAAGACTATTTATAAATCTTGAATTAATTAATTAAGTCTTGAGTTATAAAGTTAAAATTTTGTTTTTAATATTCTTAGCTCAGTAAGTTATTTTCCTTTATTTCTATTCTCACTTAAATAAATTCCTACAGTTGAGTTGTGTTGTGCACTAACAAATTATGAAAATAAATGCATTCTGTGTAAAATTTTTAATATATATTTTTTATAACTGTTTTAAAAATATTTTGGTTTTATTAAGTGATTAGTTTCTTTTATTTAAAACCAATTTTATAATGTTCATTCTTAATTTAGTTCCATAATGCAGCTGTGATTGAATTAGAGTGCAATCTTAAAGCAGCCAGAGTACTTATTTTGCAAGAAGTAAGTTATTTTCATCATCAAAACAGTTCATATAATTTTGAAGCAACTATTTTAAGATTATTAAATTTAAATTTCATTTAAAGTTTAACTAAAATTAATTTTGATGCTCAGAGTTAAATTCCTGTTTAAAAGCTTTCAGATTTTGTATCTGTCAAATGTCAAAAGACTGATACAAAGACAAAAGTTGAAAAATTTAATCTGTATAAAAGCATTGGAATTAGTTAACATGTTACCTTTTTTTTATTTTAATATTGTAATATTTTTTTATTTTAATATTTTTTTATTTTAATATTTTTTTATTTTAATATTATTTTATTTTAATTTGTATCTAATATTCAAAAATATTAGATACAAATTAATTTTATTAATTGTTGGTGTTTTCAGAAATATCTGCAAGCGTCAGAATTTGTTCATAATGCTCTCAATATTAATCTTCAACAAAGTGAGGATGATAAAGTATGTTGTATGCTTTCAATTACAGTAATTTTGTACTCAATTTTTAATTTGAATCTTTAATAAAATATATTTATATACATGTATTTTTTTTAAATATAGATCAATCAATTTGTTACATTAGCTCAGTTATATGAAGAAATTGGTTTTCATAGAAAATCTGCATTTTTTAAGAGAATGGCTGCTCTCCAATGTGTTTCTCCACAGAATTCTAAATGCAACTGGAATAAAGTAAAAAAATTTTTAAAATAATAACAATTATAAATAAATAAAAAAAATATATGGATTAATTTAAATTTTTTCAGTGTTACCATCATCTCCTTCAGACATTGGATGGTTATAAATTAACTCTTGATCCAAAGGATGTTCCTCGAGGTAAACTTGTATAGTGATCTTTTTCATATTACAACTCAATTAGTATTGCCAAATTATCTGCCAGATTACTTATTGAGTTACATTAACACTGATTTAATAATTAGATATTAAGCAATTTGGCTAGAGATAGGTGATTAGGACACCATCCATTTCTTTCAGAATATTTTAAATTAAAAAGATTTAATAATTATAAACAAATTAAATCATGAAATAATTATCATTGATAATGGTTGTCAATGACATTGAGGCTATTGATGCAAAAATGACAGCTTGAAAATGTTTATTTACCTGAAAATAAAGATAAGTGTAACTAAAACTGGTTATGATAAACAAAATACAAGGTTACAAGAATATTTATAAAACAATAACTCAAAATCTGTTTGGCTTTGACTATGGAAGATTTGCATGCATCTGCAAACAAAATGGCTAATCTTGAAACATGAAAACAAGATGGTCTACAGTAATAAAGTTTTAATTTTGATAAAACTATTTCTATTTTTGACAGTTACCTTACTTTGCCCATTGATTAAAAAAGAAAATGAGAAAAAGTTATACTCTAAAGTTAAAAGTGGGAGTAATAACAAAACAATTCTTCTGAAAATGTATTCTTTGTCAGTGTTGCTTTTCTACTTCTTATTTTTCTGCAAAGTCTTACTGATGTTTAATTTCATGTCTCACGTTATAAATTTTGTTTCTTGCTTAACAACAAAAATTTTAAAATAACACGAAGCATATGAAAATATTAATATAGTGAACTTCTGTATTATGTGCTCCCCTATAATGTGAATTTGTATAACACAATGAAAAATTTCCAAGTGGTACTCATAAAAATTCTGATTTTGTCATCCAGATGTTTTCTTCAACTTCTATGCCTAGGTTTAAACTTGCATAAAATTTTCTGATAATGCATTTCTTTATGATGTGATTTCCTGTAATGCAAAATGTATCTCCACTTTGTATGGGACTTCTGTAATCTACTTTATTACAAGTGTATTTAAATGGCTTCCTTGCATGATATATTAATTCTTTGAATTTATTTATGTAAATACATAAAATCTCATTAACCTCACAAGTTAGTCCAGCAGTTATCAAAATTATCACCTTTTTAACCTTTTCAACATACTCTGAAGGTCTTTGTCAGGAAATATAATAATGGAATGCTCATTGAATTGCTGGACATATTACATAAAATCTTCCTAATCTCACAAATAAGTCGTTCAGTTACAGCTTGAAGAAGTGTTAATATATTTATGTAAAAAGTTTGTAGTGTTGCAAACATAATCAGTTTACAAGAGTAGAAAAATTTATTTTTTAACTTGTAAAATGGATATTAGCTTTCCCATGTTTGTTAACAAAAATTTTAGATTAACATAATTCATTAATTAATTAATCTCTCTCATAACCATTGAAATTGTTTGTCTTTAATAAATTGTATAAGAAAAATTGATTTACGTAACTGACATTGATTTCCCTTTCAACACGATCTAAACAGATTATAAGCAAAAGTATTATTGTGATCATTGTGTGTGTATAAAATGTGATTAAAAAGTTTGAGAGTTGAATTACAGAGCTTATGAAAATCAACATCTGTATCTTTATCATTCTAATACTGCATTTGCGCACAATCCACGACTCACTTTGATCTCGATTGCCAGTCAAATGTCGAGCTGTTTGCACAGGCAGTCTGCTTGAAAAGAACCTGGCTATTGCACGCAATGATAAAACTGACATAACTACGAAGTAAGTCATGAACACCAACAAACAAAATGAAAGTTTTGGTTAGAAATAAATACTTTTTCTTGCCATATATCTAAGAATAGCCAGATTGCGTTGTCTCTCCAAATATCTTTTTTATTTCTCTGTTGATAGCCTGACACTTGTTCCATAGTGATTTTGTTTTTCTTGTACACATGGGATTGTGGGAATTCTCTTATGACTAGATCTAGTTTCAAAAACTCTCTTGAGTCAGTTGTAATTGAACCTTGTTTCAATTGAGATTTAAACAGTTGAGAGAGGTTACACCATAGCACAGTCACTGATCTTATCACAATCTACATTGAAATGCTCAGTGTGAATGGGGTATAAAGCTCTATCAATTTCCTGTTATATACGTCTAGACTTGCAGTGATTCATCCATTAGTATTTGAGTAACAGTTGATTAATGACTTCTTGATTTTTTGCAATTTTCAGTTTTTAAGTGTATGTGTTGTTAAAGAACAAGGACCCCCACATTAAATTTTGTTGGTAACCTGGTAAAAGTGGTGCATTTCAAATACTGCAGCGTTTAGGATGCTATAATGTCTTTTGAAGTATATGAGTGTATAGGAGTTTTAAAAAATGGCCAAACATTGATTGTAGATGATCCAAGTCCTGGAAGACTTAACAGCCACCACAGATAAAAGTAAAGAAGATATCATTGCACAATATATAGCGATTTGACGATTAGTCAAATTGCAATACAAGAACTAGCAGAGGCCTCAAACATCTTGTTTGGATCATGCCAATTGAAGTTGTATAAATTGGATACCAAGGTGTAGCATCAATGCTTGTTCCATGCATCATAACAACTAATCAAAAATGCAAGAAAGAATTAAAACAGATGGCAATTTTTTGAAATCAGTCACAGCGGGAGACAAATGTAGGTTTACTCTTACAATCCAGATATGAAATTGCATCAAGTCAGTGGAGGAAGAAAGATGAAACATATTCAAAGAAAGCACATACGAACTGTTTGAATGTTAAGATAATGCTCATTGTTGTCTTTGATTATTGAGTTATCATGCACCATAAACTTGGTTCCCATGGTACTGTATATCAGTTAATGAAATGTTTTATTGAGGCATGTTGTGACATATAGATGAAGCAGTTCAGTTTAAGAGACCAGATTTATGAAGAAAGAAAATTTCAGCCTATAGAACACACTACTAATTCAAGAATTTCTGGTGTATTTACAAGACTTTTCACTTGCTGACTTTTTTTCTTTTTCCTTGCCTAGAATGAGCCCTAAAGGGACAATATTTTAAGATGTTAAAGGAAATGAGAATGAAATTAAAAGAAGAGCTGAATTGAATTTCTGCATCTGTATACCATACTGCCTTAAAGATTGGAAAAAAGTTGGTGTGTTATTTAAAGTCTGAAGTACATGTGTACTTTGAAGGTGATATTATATAAATATATTAAGTTCAATTTACAGCAAAACTCCCCTAACCATACTCATTTCAGGTTTGGCCAAGACCACAATGGGAATGGTTGGCTGGTGGTAGACATACCTGGAAGAGACTATCCTTCAAAAATTTTCTGGTGTTTTGTCCATCAAGATTTGATTTCTGATTATATAAGTCTGGTGATGTCAACCTTGACTGCCTAAGCTATCTGGCTGTATAATAAAAGTATTAGGAACTCCATCCCTATTGCTTTTAGTAGTCTGTTGCTGGAATTTTATGTTGGTTTGTTCCACTTTTTTTGAAACTTCTGATTTTCTGGTAACATTATGTTCTTTCAGCTGTGTCAATTGGTATAAATTCTGTTTCTACAAACATTTCGTGTCAGTGAGTTAACAGTTGAGGCCAATGTAGTTTTATTATATTGGATAGTAGTTTGAAATAGATAAATTTCATAATTTATCTAATGTTTATCATCTTGAATAATTTCAGATTTAAATTTTGTAAATAATAAATTTATATTTATTAGTTTTTATTTTATTTGCATAAATAAAAGATATATAATTTATTATATTGCAGATATTATGAACGGATGGCCTTGTTTACAGATTCAAACTTTATATGAACTTGTTACGACTGCAACAAGAATGGGTAATCAACCATTAGCTGTTAGGTAAATATTTTATACTCAAAATAATAAATAATACATTTGAATTTGATTAATTTGCACTCAAATAATTTAAATTATTTGATAATTCAAACTCTATTTTCCTTTCAAATTCATATTTAAATTAATATTAAAAAAATAGTTGATTCAAACTTTTCTATTAAAACTTTGAATAATTTGAAGCTTTCAAAATATGATACATATTTTGAAAAGTGAAATTCTAAAAGACAGAGTAATACACAGTTAACTGATTTATAAAATGTGTGTTTCAGAGATTCTCTGAAATGTACACATTCTGTAAATCTTGGAGTAGAGAAAATTGTATATTTGAGTTTTTTCATGTTCCAGGAATGGTTTTAATAACAATTGCATTTACAGTAGAGTATCAATTATCAAAATCAATTGGGGACTGGGGTTGTTCGGAAAATTGATTTTTCGGATAACCGATTATGTACAAAAAAATACATTATTAATTAATATATTAGTATATCCCAATAATAGTATATTAATATATCCCATGTTTAAATTTTTCTCTGTTGTGTGTTGCTTTGCATTGAATTTTCATGGATGTTAAGCCTAACAAAAATTTTTATAATAATAATCCTGGCTATTGTATTGTTAAAAATTATTTCTTTATTTTTTACAAACAAAATAAATATATTGAAAAATATAAAAACAAAAAAATTATACTTTAGAAGTTAATCTAGTATAAAAAACGTTCGATTCAGCATAACACAGTCCAACTGGAACGCTTTCGGTTAACCGACATTTTGGTTGATCGGCGTTTGGATAATCGACGCTCTACTGTATTTGTTTTTATAATGTTTAAGTATGGAACAGACATGAGTTTATCTTTAGGTAAAATATTGAAGTTATTAAAGGAATGGAAAAGAAATTAAACAGAAAATGTGATACTGCCAAACAATAAAGAATATTGACAAATGTGAAATTTATAAACAATATGACTTGAATTATCTACTTTTGGAAGCTAAAAGTTCTGTTAATCCAAAAGTCTTTGGATTAACAGAACGTCCTCATGTTTAAATTAAATCTATTTAACTGTAGACAAAAATTTCAGATTTGCATCTATAGTCATAAATACAAAATTACTTTTAGCGTACTACTATAAATTAAAATATTCTTAATACTCTTCCGTACATTAATCTCTATAAAAGTCTCTAAACTTACTGCTATCTAAACCATTAATTTTCAATTCATTATATTTGCTAATATGAAAAATTGTTTTTGTTCATTCCTTTTTAAATCAGATTTTTTTATTAATTTACAGACACATGACTTTCCTGTTGCATGTTTTACTGGATTATCTAACACCTGCAGAGAAGGAAGAATATTGTTTACAATTAGAATCGCTAACAAGTAATTGCGAAGGATGTCCTAAACCTCTCGCACTGGACAGTGGCGTAATTATTCCTCCTGTAAATTTGCTCACTTTTCCACAAGTTAGGTATGAATATTTTAAATCATAAAAATTTATTGAATACTTTAATAGAGTATGCAATCTAAAATGTAATTTCTCTTTTGTAAAGATCATTTAAGTTACAGAATTTAGCACCTCATTTACGCCCAGTTAAAGTAAATTTTAAACAGACAACGGAACAGTGTGGTCCTTTCATTTTCTGTCCTATTCAGTTAAACAAAAAACCAAGAGGTAACACTAATAAAATAGGTAAGTGGTTTAAAGGGAGATTTTATCAGTTTTGTATGTATTTAAACTTTGCAGCTAAAAATTTAAATATGTTAACTAGATTTTAAGTGGGTAGAAGATGATGTTTGTGAAGTTGCATTACAAGTATTCAATTTATTGCCATTTGAACTGAAAGTTACAAATATGGTAAGTAATTAACTTAATTTGTTCCTAAAAGTTGTTTAAAACCAATTTCTTTTTTCTTTCTCTCTTAAACCAAAAAAATTTTCCTATAAGAAACATTATCAAATGGATTAATCATTTCCAAACTCCTAAAAGAAAGTTGTTTTTTTTACCTTTTAGCTGTATTTTATGCATAAAAATGCTTACAAATGTAATATAATATCATCTATATCCATTTTATATATACAGTAAAAGCAAAATGTTCCATCACTACATTGAAACCAAAAGCATCACTTTACAGAAAAGTGCTATAAATACAGACTCGACTGCCTGGATGAAATATAACCCAATCAATCAAGACCGATAACAAGTACTTCATCCACACACTTTCCAAAATATTGTTTCAATTTCTTTAAATTAAAAATTAATTTATTTTGATTTTATTTTTAATTTTAGTTTCAGTTTCGATATAAAAACCAGAGTTTTAATTATTATTTTTGGTTTTTAATTAAATGGCTACCTAGTATAGTTGTAAGCTTCTTGTTTCTAAAACTTTAATTTAATAATCTCAATAGCCAGTTGGTAGAGATATGAGACTGATCAAACTGCACTGGTGCCAAGTAATAGAGATCATATTGAAAAAAGACTTTTAGTTAATGGTGGAATGCATTTTGGTCTTCAGTGGACCCTCCTCAGCCACAATATGAAGATAACTACAACTGTTGCAAAAACCCACATATAACATTTAGCTTATTACATAAAATTTTTTTTACAAATGGAAAAAACAAACCTAGAATATTTAAAACAATAGTAACATGTTACGTGGTTACACTAATACACTAACCATTCATACATTCATCTGATTACATTTCTACTCACAGTTTAAAACAAATACACCTTGTGACACTGTATTAAGTGGGTCAGTAGTACTGGTTAACAGCGATTCCCCTTGACGAGACTTGATAGCCAGGATTCACTTACTCTCCTTCCTGAATTATCATTAATTCTATAATTTTTCTTAACATTCATAATTTTAAAATGTTCATAATATTGTCTTTCAATAGGTTTTGTTTGTTTTGTTTTTAATATTTTTTATTGTTTCTTTTATGATTTCACACCCTTTGGAATTGCAGTGCCTGGCTATTGCTAACTAACAAAAATTTATTAAGTGCCTTTAAACATGGATTTGTAAATGTCATTTATATTATACAAATGTCAGTTAATGCAGTTTTTATTAAATAATTTGATTTTTAAATTCAATTGCAACACCAAAAAAAACTAGAAATAGTATCTTTCCCACATGTGCATTGAAATCTAATTTGAATAGCAATAGCTTTGATGATTTGTGTCGTGTTGTGATGTTTAATAATATGAGACAATCTCGGCACCACTAACTTCTGAATTGGTAGTCTCATTATTGATTGGTCAGGCCATCAACTTTCTTTAACAGGAAGTATGGAGAGTTGACAGTCTGTGTCTCACTAATCTGTGGTCAGCTTTTGCCGAGTAGCTTGTTCAGCAACTGAGTTACCATACAGCAAATGGGACAGATATGGCATTCAAAATTTTGTTCAAAAAGTGATGCATTTGAAACCTGAGGTTTGAAAGATAAAGTTACATAGAAAAAGTAAAGCCATTGCATATTCTATTGCAGTCTGATTTATTATTGAGAAAATAAAATTGTATGAGTAAAATTCTTAGTGAAACATGTACAATAGGATGTTAGAAGTAACTTAACTAAACCTTTAATGTCCAGAAAAAGTTTTTTAATTTACACAATTTAAAATTCTCTATTCTTATTGAAAAAAACCAAATTTTTTTCATAAACTTCAAATGTTTGTTCATGTATGTTGTACCGAAAGGAGTTGAACTTCTACTACAAAAATTACAGAGAATAAATTAAAAGCTGAATAAGAAAGAAAAAATATTTGCAAGAATGTTTCAAACAACTTGATGACAATCATATAGAAGAGTACAGATTTGTATTTGTGGAGACTGCAATTTATTTTTTGTCATCTTATAATATGATAAGGATTGAATAAGCCGATGCAGTTTCTATCAAACTACAATGAAGTACTAAATATTAAAGCCAAATGACTGCCAAATTATATTACACTATATTACTACTACTATTATTAATTAAATGCTAAGTAATTTGGCACTAGATGCAGGGCATTAGGTGCTATGATCTTGCTAACTTTAATAATTATAATTAATTATAATTTTAATAGTTAATTTAGAAGGTTCTGGAATAAAAGGATTGGCTCAAAGTGGGACTTGAACCCACAACTTATTTTTTGTAGTAATAAATGGCAAAATCTCTCAAATTTAGATATGTATGATAGACAGTTTGATAGAGTAATAATTATATAGCTAATGGTCCTAATACTAGGCAGAGAATTAGAAATTTGTAACTGTTCACTTTGAAAACCGTTGTGTCGAAAGTAAATTAATTGCAAATCTATAAGCCCTCATATATTATTTTTACAAAACTTTGTTTCCTTATTTGGAATATTTTTATTAATTTTTTTATAGAAATAACTTAGATGAGAGTTCTTTTTGTAGAACTCTCATCTACAAAATTCGCCTACATCATTTGCCTTTAGTAACTTAATGCAAATTATTTCAAAAAACAAAAACATTAATACCTAATGTAATGAGTGAGTAAAACTAAAAAATGCTTGGGTTTTAATAAATATTTTACAAATTCACTTCATTGCATCACACCACATTCAACATGCTGTATTTTGCTTAAAAATTTTATATACATATACACCTGATTATCCGGGTTAATCACCGATAATGGAGACCTGGATGATAATCAACTCCATTTTAATGAAAGTTAATCAGTTTTTTTTTCTATTTAGTTTTTACCGTATTTACTCGAATATAAGACAGCCTCGCTTATAGGGTGAGGTGTGACTTTAAAGATCAAAATAAGGAAAAATTAGATTTATTAATGCAATTCTAATTTTATTTTGTTTCATCACACATAAAATATCAAATGAATGTAAATTCATGCACTGTCCTGCAAAAATTACTAGCATTTTAAAAACTTTAAGAAAAATCTTGTAAAATTGACAACATAATTTGTTCATGTAAATCTGAACAATCAGGAACCTTTTTTTGCCAATTCTTAACAGTCGAATCCACTCTCCATCAATTACACTTATGAGTTTCTCCGAATTATGATTTCTGAATAATCATCCGTTTTCACATGGGAATAGATTAAAACTTATATCATGCTCTTGTGTGATTTTGAATTTCAATCTGGAATTCAATTCAAAAGCTTTGCTTTTCCTATTGCTATTCATCTTTACTCCTGACAATATACAAGATCGATTCAAACAACCTAAATAAAATACTTACATTTTTAAATACAAGAGAGTAAGCATCTGGTAAAAAATGCAAATATACAGTTCACAAAAATTATTTGCAAAAATGCAAAGAATCTTTTGCTTGTGCATATAGGACGACCTAGGAATTTGAAGCTGTGATAAATGAATAAAAACCTCGTCTTATATGCAAGTAAATATAGTAATAATATTTCCAGAATTTATGTTAAATTTAATGTAATAGTTTATACAGGTAACCCACGTATAACACGGTAGTTACGTTCCAAAAAATTGCCATATTATGCAAATCCGTGTTATGCGAATCAAAGAACTAGTACGAAAAGGAGGGTTAGGTTCCAAAAATTAAAAAACATGCTACTATATTTTCATAATTAAGTTAAATATTAAAATTTTCTTAAGTGATACATATTAATATAAATTAAACAATGTTTTCTTTGTCATCACTAAAAGCTCTATTAACCGAGAGTGTTTTATTTTTGGCAAGTTATCATTATCCTCTGAGCATTTTTCTGCATTATTTTCAGATTCATGCTTTACCTTTTGCAAAAAGTGTATGTAATTTTAGATTGCTTGCTTCTAGTTAAAAGATCTTTATAAATTTCCTTATATGGTGCTAAGCACTTATGGAATAAGAGAAAAACATCTGGCAACACCAGAAGCAGAAGCGTCGTGATATGGCAAAATTGAAACAATTTTCGCAAAGGACCATATGTATGGAAACGAGAAAAGAAAATTTACACACTGAAGTACTAATAGTTCACGAAAATAATAATTTTTGTAAACTATTAGTACTTAAGCATGTAAAAATTTATTACATTTCATGTTGTACAAGGGTTTTACCCATTTCTTGAACCGTGTCAGAGTGAATCCGTGCTATAAAAGTACTGTGTTATACGGGGGATGGTATCAATTCTGGAACTGTGTTAGAGTGAATCCGTGCTATAGAAGTGCCGTGTTATACGGGGGTTACCTGTATATTATGAATAAAATACCTTTTGAGAATGACAATTAATTAATAAGCTTTAAATGTGATTGGAGTTGAATAAAACTTTTAACATAAACAGAAAATTCAGAAAAATTTATTGAATTAGCACCTTGCAGTTCACTATCAATTTCTTTTACTATTAACTGAGATTGACAGGTTGTCAGCTAGATATTGTCATAAAATGCCATTAATTTTGCAATATTAATGATAAGGAAATATTATTGGTAAGGAAATGATTTAAAATATCTTATCATAACACACCTTTCTTGTTGCCAAGATAGTTTTATTGAAAACTAACATTTTCAGCCTACTCTAATTTAAAATATTTTTCAAACAATTTTACAATTTATTTAATGAAAACAAAACAAACAGTATATACATAAGTAAAGGCATATTGTTCAAGAATCAAATGCACTTACTGTATTTGTTATGCTGTTTAATTTGTCTTGTCATTCTGGAAGTAGTACCCACTCAATTTACCATTTTAAATAAGAATTAATGGTGCAGATGTTTTTTACCTTGATGTTAAAATTTATGTCAGGAATACAGATATTTATGAGATGCAAGTGTGCACGGATAATCGGGAGTATACTGTAGTTTTTAAGTTTAAGGATTGTTGTATGTATTAGGAAAAATTTGCTTTATCAATATCAGTTGAAACATTTGTGATTCAAATCATTTATTTACATTTCAATGTAATGGTCTGAAACACAGTGTGTAAATTGTGTACAGGTAAAACAGGCAAACAATAAAGATTTTTCCTGTTTTCTCTGGATATGTATCCTCATTTTGCATGACTTGGACACTTGTATATGCAAGTAAATATGTCTTATTCCTAGTAATACAATCTGTCCTAGTAGACATTTAAATAATAAAATTCAGTGTAAATAGTTTATCATATTGCTTTGCTAGTGATGTCTCTTTCTCTGTAAACCAATTTAGCGCTGTTAGATATAATTAAGTAAATTTTTGCTTGATTTAGAAAAATTTTCATTGAAATTTCACGTCTCAAAAGTTAGTTATGACAGAATTTCATTTTTAATGAATTTAATTTTTTTTTTATAAATACATACATGAATTGTTATAATTGAATCTTTAAATAATACTCAAAAATTTTAGGGTTTACTAACAGAGGGAATTCCTTTTGAAAGTTTTCCCGCTTGCCTATCTCTTCCGGCTCATTCAGGCCCATATCCTGTAAATTTATTTGGTACGCCGCGTGGAAGAGGTGAATTGCGCATTTTAGGTAAATCTTATCATTTTCTTTGCATATACATTTTAACATAAATATTTAAAATGAAAAATATTTTTGACAGGATATACAACTCAGGTTTTGGGTGTCAAAAGTAATTGCAAATTGAGAGATCTGAATGGGATCAAGAGACCGTTCTATTGTATCGATATCATTCCGGCACTTCCTCAGTTACAAGTTACAACTTCGCTTCCCAAGGCGAGCACTTTTTCTTCACTTGCTAATTCCAGTGCTGTCGTAATGAGTGCTGCGGTCACAATATTTGCCGGCGAAAGGTATTGTAGACTCTTTAGTTTCTCAAGTAACAATTAGTTTGTCTTAATTAAGTAGTTATTATCTTTTAAAGTCGAGAATGTACGATCACTCTGACCAATACTGGAAAAGAAATGGTGGAACGAATAGACATCAGCGTACAGGTTAAATCAGATAAATGTGAGAATTGTGAATTTTTGTAAATAATAACGAATAAATGATAACGAAGTAAAATTAATAAATATATTTATACTTTCAGCTAAAGAATCATCTTTTTTCACTTGGAGCCAAGAAAATTTAGCGATGCAACTTCCGATCACTCCAGGAAGTTCGGCTTGTTTTACTTTGTACATAAATGGTCTCGGAGAATTTGTATATCCGACACACAAGAAACCAATAGAAAGAATAGGTAAGTATTATTTAAACAATTAGTTTTCTTTTAGTATAGTTAATAAGATCTGTATCCTCTGTATAAAACAGATAATTGTGATAGGTTAACAAGTAAAGAAATTCACTGTTAAATTTATAATAATAGCATCAATAACCAGACAATATATATTCTGTCAATGTATAGCATACTGTAACCAGACAACCAGACTGCTACATATATATGCATATATATATATATATAGCATAATGTAACCAGACAAATATCTGGTTACAGTATGCTACAGATTAATGCCTTGCTAAGTAGATGGAGTAATTTTCATTAGCTTTTTTCTTCTTGCTCTAGATTTCTTAAATGATCTCAAGGTTACTCACTTGAGAATAAATGACAAAAATAGCCAGGTCAAGAAGCTTAATATATATCACCCCTTCTTTCACAGTGATGAGAATAAATCAAGTTTGGTCTGTATTAGGACTTTCCAAACTATTCCATATTAACCAGTAGTTTTCAGTATTTTTCTTGATAACTTCACATATAAGTTTGCATGTGTGTGATATTTTCCACCATAGATAACAACAGCTGTGACAAGATAGATCATTACAAAGTTTATTATTATTATTATTATTATTATTATTATTATATAATAATGTATTTAATTTAAATTAGTAGTAATAAAGTTATAGAAATATTAAATTCACTTTATTATAAACATATTTTTGTTCATTTTCTAATTCTTCAGTTTTCCATTGATTGGAGTTCTTTCTGGAATGTCATGAACCTCCAATGTTCTGATGTTGCATAGAATTACTTTACCTTTTAGTTGAACTTAGGTAGCTTTCACATGTTAAGTGGATATGACTTTACTATAGAAGCATTAAGTTCTTTATATTTGAAATACTTTTTTTCTGCATCTATAAATGCATGTATATACAGTTAAAAAATATTTTATGTAGGTGAATATTCTCAAATTTAAATTTTTTGTACTTATTAAGTGTAATTGATTTTCTACCTTTTACTTTTGTGGCTGTTTTGTATATATGTAACAAGGGAAAAGTATTGTCAAATTGACCCTCTGGGTTTTTTCAAGTCTTTGTTTTGAGACCCTGAACATAAAAGCAGAAAAAATTCTATGAATGTGTGTTGGCATCTATTTGATTTTATATCTCAGGATGGGGTAATGATTAAGAAACATAAAAATTCAGCATGGGAGTTTGGGCATTAGGGGCATTGATGCCATTAAATTTTGGTGGTTAAAGGTTGAGGGGTGAGGAAATGGGGATCATATATCATATCTGAATAGGGTTGGACTTAATGAAGATTTTACTCATTGTTATCATTTACAATATTTTATAAAACTTGTCTCTACCCTCAAAATTAAGCTTTTTTCCATTTTATAATAAATAATATAAACATTATTTCTTAACAAAATCTCATAACAGATAGTGACACAAACTTGTGTGTCAGTGTTTTTTTTTTCCAGGAAAGTTATGCAACTCATTGCTGGATTTATTTTAATAATTTGTTACAGAATATATGTTTTATTCAAATATTTTTTTTACATTAAACTTTCAGCAAATTTCTGAACTTTTAAATATTTACAATGTTTATTTTCTGAGAATTAATGACATTATAATTAATAAATATTTTACTTACAGGAACGCCTAGCAAAAATACCCCTGTACATATTTCTTCTGTTGATCTTTATCCTCCAAAGGTAAATGCTGTATTCTAAGGTTTTTGTAAAGATTTTCAACAAAGTTAATTTAAATGCTATTCTTACAGTCAGTCGAGGCAATTTTACAAATACAGTATAGCGGTGGACCGGGCATGAGAGAAGAATACTGTCGCCATTGTTCTGTTGCCATCACAGTCGAAATTCTTCCTTCGCTGGTGATAAGTAAATGGGATGTTCTTCCAGCAGATATGTAAGTAAGTTTATATATTAAAAAAAGTAATTTTAATGAGAATAAAAATGATGATTAACTTTCCTACTGATAGCTAAATGTTTAATTTATCTGGTCAAGTTTATACAGTAGATATAGGTGTGTGTAATTCTGTTGAATTTGCATCAATCTTACTGATCCGACTCAGAAAAAATTTTATTTTTCTGTGATTTCTCATGATCAGAAGATGCTGATTACTTTTTTACATTTAAAACATACAATTAACACTTAACAAATAATGTATTTGACTTATTTCCTCATAGAAAAAAATTTTTCTTCCGTAAATTTTATACCCAATAAAAATAGAACTACTGGATATTTTTCACATATGATAAAAATGTGTTTTTCGTGCATGTTTGAAGAAAATTTTAAAAATTGAGTTTAATTTTTCAGAAGATTGCTTGCAAATTTACCTTTATAATAATCATATCTCATTATTTTAAACATATCTGTTTATATGTATGGATACATCATCAAATGTCCATGTACTGTAGTGACTAATTGAAACTTCAGAACAATCAATGAAACTAAATAAAGTTATCAAAAGTGAAATCATTAAAATAACATTCTATATAATACAGTAGAGCGTTGTTTATCCGAATCAATTGGGGACTGGGGTTGTTCGGATAACTTATTTTTCGGATAACCGATTATGTACGAAAAAATATATTAACCTATCCCATGTTGAAATTTTTCTCCGTTGCGTGTCGCTTCGCGTCGAATTTTCGTCAATGTTAAGCCTAATGTAAACTTTTTAAAATAATAATCGTGGCTATTGTATCGTTAAAAATTATTTATTTATTTTTTACAAACAAAATAAATGTATTGAAAAATATAAAAACAAAAAAATTATAGTTTAGAAGTTAATCTTGTATCAAAAACGTTTGATTCAGCAGGACACACAGTTTTCAGAAAAACACCACACAAAAGTGCCAGTGCTGTTAGCTAAAACACACACATCAACAAAAAAAAAAAATATTGGAGTAGCCCACGATATAGCCAAAGATTGCAGTGCTACAGCACTAGCGAAATTTAAATTTGCTGAGTGGAATTCTTTTGGATAACCGACTTTTGGATAAACTACGCTCTACTGTACTACTCTACTGTACTATAAGTATTGAATTTAGCAAAATACAAATGTTTTAAATAAAACTTTATTGTTAGAAATTTTACTTTCTAATAACAGAATTCTGAGAATTTTTTTATAGTAATACCATTTCACTATAAGTTAACATCCCTAATTAGCATTTCTGATACTGCAATGTTTATAAGAATTTAAAATATCTTTTATATCTAGTTAAGTTAGAATAAATTAAGATAAGTAAGTTGAGGAATATAAAAGTTAAATAACAGACATCAAAAGAATTGTCTTTTTAGAAACAAGTAGCAATTATTTTGTTTTTAAACACTAATTAATTCTAAAGATAAAACTGTAAACAAGTTTACAATTTCATATTTAGAGTTACAACATTTTATTTAAGCTATAAGATCAGCAAGCTTGCATGGGAATTTCTTTTAATAAATAAAAACTTACAAATTTTTTTAGATGATTCTGATGTTTTGTTGTAAAAGAAATAGTCATCATTAAATTAATGCAAACTTGCATTTTATTCTTGTATTTATTTGACAATATACTGTACTAAAAGAGAATATTAATGTTAAAAATTTTTCTCTTATTCATGTGTCAGGCTGATTAATAGTTAGAGAGTTCAAGGAAAATTACATTGTGTTTTGAAGATGTTTGTAAATTCTCCACAAATAATTCAAAATCTTTTTATTTTTAAATATTTAATATATATATATAAAGTGTATGAATCTTATTATTATGAAAAATAGCATATTTCAGAAGAACAAAATATATTGTTATAATCTATTAAATCCCGTTACGTAAGCCAAATACTTAATCTCTTATATGTAGATTATTATTAAATTTATGCTTGCAATGTAGTAAAATATTTTTCCTTTGAATCAAATTTATCAATATCATCATACAAGGGTTTGACATAAAACAATGGCAACACTTTTTTCACATTGCTTACAAACAGATGATAGTATTCTGTTTCCAACATTGATGAATATATGGGGAGAAATTGGCACACGATGTGCATGTGCTAGAGATGGAAAGGGAAGATTACAAAGCATTACAATAGTAGTTTCAAACAGGATTGCCCTAAAGCAAGGCTGCCCAAACCCAGGCCTGCGGGCCACTTTGTGGCCCGCCAATGCATTTGAATTTGCCCGCCCACAGTAGCAGTCGGCTGTTACCATGCGCGATGTCGTGCTACCAATAATGCCAACCACCACGTGATTGGTCGAATGCGGAATGAACTATGACTTGAGTCACCGCCACACCACTGTTAATACCTAACCTATGCATTTATTACACTTGTTCTATTAGTTTTGAGTCGACTTTTGTGTATTAAAATTAAATTGTCACCAAATATTGAAAAATTATTAGCTAATAAGCCCCTTCTTAGGTCTCATAGATGTATTTTTTATTAGGTATTATTAAAACATGTGCAACTTAAAGCTTTGTTTGATTCAAATACCTATCCATTTATAGAAGAATCATGAGTGTAAGCAAGTATGATTCATCAGATGGCCCACCAGCTGACATGTAATTGAAATTATAGCCCACCTCCAAAATGAATTGGGTAGCCTACCCTAAAGACATGTTTCTGAAGTTTGAAGAGCATTCATGGATCAGGATCAAGGTGGTGCATGAAAGGACATTATGTCAGGGTCATTGGGAAGCATATGATGATCATGTATTACCACATGCTTCAAATGGTGGCAAGATGGTATCATTTCACTGAGGTCATGATGAGTACAAGATGCAGTGTTCAGGTTGCCTGGTGTGGACAATCATCAGGTGAAGTTGATTTAATTACTGATGGAGATGGATTGATTGTGGACAGCAAGGTGTTCACAGTCAGTCAATCTGTAGTTTTGCATGTGTTGAAAGATGTTTGGTTACTGCAAAATTGCATCATATAGGATATCTCATCACCTTACTGACATTCAGAAGTGTCACTGCTATGCATTTGTCAGTGACCATTTGAAATGTTATAACAGAGAAGGTGGAATATTTGTCGAAAGAGTCATCACTCGGGTGATCTGTCATTCTGGTCATATGATCTTTCATATACAGTAGAGCGTCGTTTATCCGAATCAATTGGGGACTGGGGTTTTTCAGATAACTGATTATGTGCGAAAAATATATTAACCTACCCTGTGTTGAAACTTTTCTCCGTTGCGTGTTGCTTCGCGTTGAATTTTCGTCAATGTTAAGCCTAACATAAACTTTTTAAAATAATAATCGTGGCTATTGTATCGTTAAAAACGATTTCTTTATGTTTTACAAACGAAATAAATACATTGAAAAATATAAAAACAAATAAAAATGATACTTTAGGCCAACTGGAATTCTTTCGGATAAACGACGCTCTACTGTATCTCATCCATGTGTGCAAGACCATATGATCAGAACTCAAATGACAGTCCAATGCATCCATCATCTCCTCTGCCAAAAAAGTTGCACAAAGTGTCAAAGTGATACTAATAGCAATATATTATGTACATTTGATACTATAGTATAAGACAATACTAAGTTTTCTGGAAACTCATATTTGTTCCACTCTGTGGGAAATGTGGAAAAAATTTTCAATTGCTATTGTCTCGCGCAACAATGCACATTGTCACCAGGCTATTCCCACAAAAAGTTGTTAGCACAATAACAGTGGGAGGTGCTCAAACATCCAACCTAGACATCAGCTTGTGCAACTTTCACCTTTTCTGTAAGTAAAAAAAAAAACACATTTTCACAAGAGAAGAAATCCTCTGAGCAGTAGTGTGCTTAGTTTCTAACATCAACTAAAATAGCTGTGATGATGTATCTAACACTTTTTACACACAGGAAGGTTAGAAATTTGGGAAGCAACTACATTGAAGAACTGTAAATGTATTCTGTTCTGTGAATATTTTGTCTCACATACATATGTTGTTGCTATTTTACATCTGATCCTATATAAATGAATAGAGGAGAAGGTGGTATTATGGAACCCCAATTACATTATAATGAATTGTAAACAAGGTATCATAACTACACCCACATTTTTTGTGCAAAAAGTACTGGTAACTTGTAAACTAAATGTTCCTAATTGTATTTTTTGCTAGTGTAACTATAAATATGGTTTTTGAAGGCTTTTGTATAAAAAGTCAGAAAGTAAACTTAGAGAAAATCAGGTGGTAATATGGAACCTTACTGTATATTTTTAAAAAATGCTTTAATGTAGCCAAAAACAAATAGGAAAGTACAAAAATGTTAAATAATTACAAAATTATTAATATGTAAATTTTTCGACTATAAATTCGACTTTCATCTATTATCAGGACTTATTATACTGGTTTTACAGATAATATTACAAAGATTAACAGAAAACAATTTTTATTTTATTTCGTATACCTGGACACATACATATAGTCAAAAAATTTACATATTAATAAGGAAAAAAGGACATTGAGGCAATTTAATTAATTACAAAATTATTTACTCCAATGTATTTTATTGCAAAAATGCTTTTATAATAGAAAAATATGACCTCCATCAACAATATATATTCCAGCAGCTCTTTTTCGATATTCTCAGGAAGAATTGACTTTCTACCTAGTATCTTTTTCACAAATTGCTCTGGATGAATGTCTGCTTGCAAAGAGAGAGTTCGGAGGAATTGAGTTCCATATTACTGTAAAAGCACCAATGGGGTCCGTATTTCACACATCACCATCTTGAATTAACTTAATTCCTGTTGACACCAAACTTTAAAAACACAATTATCACACAGATTAATACGTACCCCTAAGTCTCTGGAACGGAATACATGCACCAGTGAACCTACAACTACACGATTTATATTTTAAAAATAATTAAATTCACTTAGCATTCAAAACTTGCGAATTTTGAAAAAAACAAATTTGCTGATTAAATACGGACAACCGTTTTACTGAAGTAAAATGGGTTTTCCCCTTGCTATGGATGTCTGCCTAGTTCAGCTCAGCCACAATCAGCTACAGTTTGCCTTTATTATCAGTTCGAAATGGGGTGGTTCCACCTTTTCCTCTATCACAAAAATTATCAGAAAAAATAATTTTAAGCAGTTCTGTATTGCTTAGCTTTAGATTATTCTGAATGTTGGAGGAATCTGTAATTGGAAAATATTTTTTGGATTTCCTTTTCTAGGATTTCTAATTTTATATGGAATGCCTCATTTTCATTGGCTTTAAAATGTCTCCCCAAGCAACACTCCCATTAAAATCTGACAAGGAGAATTGGTAAAACTTCAAGAAAAATACTAAAATTTGATTACTTTCTAGTTTTAGTATAATTTTGATTACAGTGATTATATACAATAAATTAAATTTTATTATTCTAGAAGTAATGGCAGCAGATAATTTAATGTACCTGTGCTGTAATTAATTAATATTCTCACTGTAAATGACCTTATATTCATAGAATTCAAGCAAAAATAACTAACCTCAAATGTTTTTGGAATTAATTGCCATACTAGTTTGTCTGTCAATGAAGCATAACTTTGCCAAAAATTAGTATTTTATTTCAAAATAATTATTTAAAAGCATTCCTAAGTATTTTTTTTATTATTTAAAATCTATTATTAATTTTTGGTTGGAAATAATTCATTAAATTTAAAATTCTTACAGAATATGATTTAAAATATTTTAAATGAAATAATCAATTTGCTAAAATTTATCCTAAATATGAGAATTAGACTTTTTTTAATTGAATTTTTGTAAAAATGTTTTTCTTTTAATTAACAATTATTAATTTTATTTTAATTCATAATTTTTTAAAAATTAAAGCAATTCATTGTTTATTTCAGGCCATCACAGTGTTATCTCGTATTAGACATTCTCAATGCTTCCAATTACGAAATGGAGCTTCAGTATTCTACCAACAAGAAGATTTTGATCGAAGCCAAAGATACGTGCCGAATTCCCGTTGCCGTCGAAAGATGCCCACCCGTTGCTTTTCACCAAGATGGCGACGGAAATGAAACGACCATTCAGTCTCTTTGTCACCAGCATTTAGTAAATCTGGTCGACTTAAATTGGACTTTGATATCCTTTTCATGTATTTTAAATAAATTCTTAATTTTAACGAATCTAATAAATATAATTTTAGTTCTGTATGACACACATGCATTATTTTATCCTTGACAATTACATACCCGACAATAGGAATTTCGGGTCGTGCTTCGATCGTAGATGTAACTTGGACGGAAAGTATGATGGACGTGATAATGATATCGCCAATTCATTGGGGTAAAAATAATTCATTTGGAGTAAATTAAGTAATTTTAATATTAATTAATACAAGCATCAAACCATACTTTATAGAGATGATGTTGAATGGACACGAATTTAAAGTCGAAGAGGAATTTAATTTTATCGTGGGCGAGTTGGTAGTACTTAATATCACAATACATAATATTTCAGGTAAGATGAATGTTTTATTCGTGAGACAGGAAATGATTAGTTACAATAAATTCTTATTTGTATGAATTCTTTCAGATGCCATTCTTGAATCTGTTCAACTTTGCATCCAAGGTTATCAAGACCATCAAAACGGACATTATAATTATCGATTAGAAAATAAGAGAGCCATCATAGGAAGTGACAAAGTTCTAATTCCAAAGGTAGAAATAAGTCACAAGTGTCTTACCAAATTTTCTATTAAATTTTGCTTAATTTTGAAATACTTTTTCAGGTTTTACCACACGATCACTATCGCCACGAATGCGGCCTCGTGTTTTTTCACACGGGCGTGTATAAGTTTGACGTGCAGTGTAGCAGTTACGTTTTGAACAAATTGAACACAAATAGAAAATCTATAAAAAACTTACATACCTGGAAGTGCACCCCATCTATAGAATTAACGGTTGTAGATTAAGTTTAGATCGGAAACCGAGACGTTCGCCCAACAAATTTTTATCCTAGAATTTATTCCATCCAGAATGAATTTGAAAAGATTCTTAATTCTGTGAATTATTTGGAGATAACGAAATTCCAATGTTACAAAATTTCCTGATGTTACTGAAGTGATTGAAAGTGATAAGATTACCAAACACTTCTGGTGTCTTTCTCCACCTTGAAAAAAGGAAAAAAAAATCAAACTCTCAACTTTAAATGTATAAAATTGTGTAATATAAGAAAAAAATATAAAACAGGATCAATAATTTGCCCAATATTTTAAGAAAAATAAATAAATAAATGTACAGAAATGCAAATAGATCCATGTATTGAAAATTGTATAATTAAGATGTCATATATAAATATATAANCCAGGGGCTTCCACAGAAAGAAAATAATAAGAATGAAAACATATAGATATATGTACAGAAAATTAAAAAAAACAAACCCACAAATTATAGATTTTATTGTGAAGTTATCGGAAGAAAATTAGTGTTTTGTAGATGAAGAGAGAAAACAGTTTTATACATAATCTGTTAAAATTTTTGTTTCTGTACAAGTTGTTTAAACAGTTCATGTTTATATAAGAGAAAAGATTATAGTAAGTTCCATAATTTTTTACAAAATTTTAAAATGTTCCCACCCTACATGATTATTTAGTATAAAACTTTAACTTATTCATATTTAAATATATTTAAAAAAAAAAAAAAATGTAGTATTTTCAATTGTTCTAACTTAAGTGTTTGGGTTAATGTTAAAGTATTTTTAAATTAAAGAAAATTATGTCTCCAGGAAAATATCTAGATGAAATTTTTTACATTTTCTGAATTTTTGTTGTTTATAAAGTATTAAAAGAAATGTTTTGATAAATTCTTAGAATTACATTGTATAATTTGAAGGTAATTTCTATCTGCAGATTGGTTTCTAGAAAATAAAATATAAAAAAAGTCTTCCAAATCACTTGGGGAAGAGCTGTCATCGATAAATGATTCCCATAAAAGAGGGTTAATTATTCATTCCTGCATATTTTCCACCTTGATGACCTTGGGTAAATGTATATGTTAATGATAAATTTGGATCAAATACAGATGTTTTTTTTTTTAAAGTTGTGTTTACGAGGAAAGTATTTTTAATTCAAATAACACAGTGAAAATCAATCAAAATTTTTTTTAATATACTGTATATAAAAAGCAAGTTACTAGATGATTTTTTAAATATTTTATATTCAAAAAATGGTTTTCTAGACGAGCACATTTAAAATTAGCATAATTAAATATTTAAAAAAAATTAATCAGCCTTTCTTAATTGAGTGAGAAAATAATAAATAACAATGAGTGACGTAAAATATGGATTTGTCTCTTAAAGATGATAGAATTTCTGAAATTTTATGTTTGTTGAATGCCAAGAATGGCCGTGGAAGCATTATCTTCCATGACGTCTCGATTTGTTTTGGCAAAAGTTTTTGTGTCTTTTATCTATGATTTCTTCGAATCCAACATCCTCGACCTGGAAGAAAAAAAATGAAAGATTTCAGATAATGTTTTATAATCCCAGAATAATTTTTAATATGTCTGTGATATTATACATTTATATAATTTGCATGTTACAGAAATGGTAATCATAGAAAATTGATCCATTTAGGACTTATTTTTCTGCAATAATAATAATGTATTTATGAATTTTTTTTTTTTGTTTTTATTTACAAATCTTTATCTCTTACAATTAAGAATAAAAGAAAGTTTTAAAGCAAATATTGTAAACATTGATTTAAAATTTAGAAAAAAATTTAGCCCGTCTTTCATAATAATAGCTTGAGTGGTCTTTTCCTCCTGAATACTAATACTGTAGTTGGTCGTGGGTTCGCGCCTCACTAACGCTGACCACGTGGAATTTTCCGGATTTTATTCACGTGTCAAACCTAAATAGGAGCCAGTTTCCTCGTAGAGAAAAGGCAGATTGCCCACGTGTTGAATTGCCGCCTTCCATTAATCCAATCCTAATCCCTCTTCCTGATTAAAATTTGAGAAGCGTAAAGGAGAAACTTGCAATTCAAGTTATCTGACGTGGATGATTTAAAATGTTTTTCTCCAAAGCAATTATTTTAAAATGTCGTTAAAATCATATTTTAATCGTGTAATGACATTCATTAAAATAATTTTAATAAATTTTATTTTTCAGATACGAATTGTACAGGAAAATTCGTACAGTGATTTCTACGTGATTGTAATTTATAAACAGTAAATAATTCTAACCTGTTTTAACAGACTCCAACTGGGATCAGTACGATGCTTTCTCTCTTCTGTGAAAGAAGCAATGGTAAATATGGAGCCTCGAGATTCTCCAAATCTAAAAATTAAGTTCATATTTAATAATATAAATCATGTATAATTATACAGAGAAACGTTTGGGAAGCTTGTTTTACTGTAAGTAGATTGTTCTAGTTTAAATATGAATCAAGTGTTTTATATTCATAGCGTGGGAGAAAATGGAAGTTTGAAGATCATTAAAATAAGAATGGATTATGAATCTTTGGAGGAGTCATTCGCCAAAATAAATTTTTCAAAATTACCAAAAAACAATGACATATTTCACTAGCTGTTAAGTGAGATTAAAATAAACATGATATTATTAACTAGGAGTTGATTTTTTTTAAAGTTAAGTGTGAATGTTTCGATCAAGTAGGAGCGAAAATAGATTGCAATCGTGTATGTTATAAATGACCTTTAAAGAATCGAACAATGGGTCTTTCTGTAGCTCTATCCTTTAACGTTACCAATGTAGTATTTTACAATATGTTTAAACGAGGATAAACTAATAGGCGGAACTTCATTCTAGTGATTAATCTATTGTTGTATTATTTCTACTGCAAAAAAAAGGTTTTCCAGTTCGGTAATATTTCAAAACAGAAATTAATTTACCCGTTATGCTATCAAAATGATTGCTACATTCATAATTATAGAGCGACGGATATCCTAATCTTTTATTTTTATTATTATTATTATTATCTGCATAAAGGTCTACTGTGTGTTAGAGAATACTACGGTAGCTTTTCCTGTTTACAACATACAGAAATTCACATTCCCTATCAATTGTTTAGGCGTACGTGTAAGAGACAGACTTAAATAGTCGCTTCGTCTTAATATAAACGGATGGATAAGCTATTTAAGAGAGAGTATTAGATTTTAAAATAGCCCCAATTAATTTATTTATAGCTTTACAGCTATTTTAAATGATTATTAAACTTGTAAATGTGTTGGCTTAAGGAAGAATGAGTAAGATGATCTATTACGTTTTAAGTTCTATCGCATTTAACGTTTTGCTATTCTTTACAACTAGTTTTATATCGAGGTCAGCGATCTTTATATCAGTAAATAATTGCTATAAATAGATAAATAATTGCAAACTTTAAACCATTCATTAATTGCCATTTGAATGATATTTTTCCTCGTCAACAGCACAATTCTATGTGACATAGTGGGTGAAAATAGAACAGCAATTAAAATTACACCAAAGTTGCTTATTAACATAAAAAGAAATGAAGGTGGAGAAATTTTTCTAAATTTTCCAGGCTTTTTTTTTTTAATTCTTTCCCTGCGGTAAATGATGTCGAATCGAATTAAAAACTGATTTATTGTTAACGAAATTTGGAGTATGCATGATAATTTTAATTAATGAAACTAGTTAATTTTTATAGTTATAACCTATATTAATACGTAAACGGTGTAAAAGTATTTGGGACATTAACTGTGACTGAATTTGAACACGCAAATCTTTATAAATTGCAAGTTCTCGAATATGTTTGCAATAAACTATTTACATGAATATTCTAAAGTATTAATTTCATAGAAACAGTAATTAAGTAACTTTCTACAAGAAGAAACTACAGATTTCATTGACATTTTACGCAGAGGTTAGAGATGGGAAGGCCACTACGTAGAGATCCCACGCGACCGCTTGTATAGAGAATTTCTTTAATATAGTGGCTAATTAAGACGAAGCACTTCTATGTAATAATAGAAACGTCTAATTGTAGGTATAGAATTATAAGTTATGATACAGTTGCAAAGATAAAATTGTTTTATTTTTTCAAATTTCGAGGGCATTAGGCCTGTTCTTTCCATGCCTAGTGGGCAATCTGGTACTGTATAAATATATCAATTCAGTATACATATACCAAAAGTATACATAAATTGTAGATGTCTCTCTTCATTGAAAAAAGAACAGAAAACATGGGGCCTACATTTATAATTCCAAATTCATGACAGCAGAATTAAACTTGTACCATTTTATAAGGCCGCAATAGAAATAAATGGCTTCAGGTATCGAACCTACCTATAAGCAATCTCGGCTTTTCCCTAGGGTCTCATGTTTTTAGGGGTCCGGACACTTACAAATACTGTGTATTCTAGTTAAAACTTGTTCTCGATCTAGTACTAGCTAAGATACTAAGCTTTGTAAATTAAGTATTGTGTGAAATGAGATACACAAATTCTTGTACTGTACAAGCTAAAACTGTTGCCGATGAATTTTGTGTAAAAAGAATTGACAAGTGAGTTGCAGGTTCTGTAAATCTGACTTATATTATTGCAATTAATTTATGTTACGGTTAAATTTAAAAAAAAAAAACTGTGCATTGTGGAAATTAAATTACGGTTGTATGAAGATAAAATTTGAAATGTACTCGTGGATTTAAAACAAAGGTGTTGCATGTTAGTGAAAACTATGTATAGATTGTCTCACCTGCAACAAACTTCTTTCGGATCTATCCACACCGTAAACTCTAAAGGTAATTTTAATTCTTTATATTCTATGCCGGCTAATAGGGCAGCTTCGCACAATACCGGATCATTTCGATATAACTGATTAATACGAATACAGCGATAGGCTTGACCCTTCCAAGGTTTGTCTTCGTACCAATGTTGTGCAAATTTGATGGTCAAGATGCCGTGTAAATGTTTTTTGAATTGCATAATTTGTTTGATGTTTAATTTGCTATTTAATTTGGTAATCAAACGTGTAAGAAATGCTGTGGCTGAATTCACTTCTGCTTTCATTCCTACCGCCTTGAAGTATGTGAGACTTGGATGACGCTGGACCTGAAACGAAAATTTCAATTCTTTAGATATTTTAATTTTCCTTCTTACAAACAATAACTTAAACTATAAATAATGCAAAACACGGCTCCGTCTTTCAAGTACAGTCTTATATAAGTCATTAACACGAAATGTTATAGCACTTTTATGTGAATTAGCATTTATACTGTATTTAGATAATAAACGTAAATTAACATTTTTTGATGTATCGATTTTAATATAAAAATGTAATTTTAACTACATACAAATATATTATTTTCAGTTAGCAGATTTCAGAAGATTACTAATTGGCTTTGATCCTATTTCACGTTAGGTCCTCTCAAAGCCATAGAAGTATATATATAAAAAATCAATAAAACCATTTTCAAAAGATATTGTAGTTTTTATCACTTTATTATAATTTTTATATAAAATGCCAAATTTTTGTGGGGCTCTGTACGCCCTGTGCCCGTTTTTGCTTTCCTCTACCAGGCTCTACGTCAATTATAAAATTACCAATCTTAATGTAATTCTAGTTAGTAGTAGTTTATTTATTATTGTTTTATTTCCTTGCCTGCAATTCTAATCTATTTTACTATTTTTATATAATTTTATGAAAGTTATTCTTATTCTAAACTTCCGTTTATAAGCTTAAAATGTGAACTGCACGTAACATTTTTAAATAAGGACAGGTCAAACTGCAGTTATACAATGAATTCCAGTTTAGTTTCATACTTTGGAAAATACAGGAGAATCATTCCATTTTATAACCAGTTTAAATACACGTCACTTTTGAAAATAACTTTTATACTGATGCTCGAGAAATAAATTTTTCCATATCTTTTTATTTCATTCTGTGGGAGAATTTAAATTATTTTAATATCGTGCAGCTACTTATAATTTAACGTTATCCTTGAATATTTGTCATTTTATGACATCATTTTGTTATATATGGATTTTCACAAAAAATATTATAGCTATGAATATTATAACGATAGTAATTTTTACATATATAGTTTTTTTGTTTACTGAAATTTAATACGTTAAAAAAAAATTTAGCTACTGAAGAAAATACAATGTAACAGATAATTCAAAAGTCATGACTATGTTTTGTAAATGTATAAAGGAAATTTGAATTTATAATATAGGGAAGGATTATGGAATTAAGTTAAATAATGGCTCGTGTGTATGCCGTAGCTATTTTATGCAAATACCTGTATAAAATGATCAAATTCTCTAATTACTAGTTGATTGATTAATTATCACAACGCCCTTGCACATTATAGACTATGATTGCGCCCATTACAGAAAGTCTGACCAGCAATGGGGTCGTCCGAAGGGGCGAAGATTATGGAGTATTTCCCCAATCCTACTATTCATAACAAATTATGAGGTCCTAGACCAGACTCGAACTCTAATCCTTCATCCTAATGCGCGATTGTTTCTTAATTGATAATTTTTATGTAGGCCTATATGACACGAGGGCGACCTCCCAAGGAGAATGCCTCCGGGGAGGACTTTCTATGGGAAACTGGTCCCCTATTTAGGTGTTACTAACGTGAAGAAAACCCAGAAAGGCCACGTTGCCAGCCGGTTGGTGAGACACGAACACACCACTAGTTGGACGTGAGTTCGAAACGAGTGTTCAGTGTTTTATCCACTTGGCCATTGGTGACTTTATAGTACTTTTATTGATAAGTTATTTAACGGTGAAGTAGTATTTATCAATCTTCTATTAATAAATGTCACAAAAATTAAATTATTTTCTTATATTTGCAGAGAAAATCATTGAGTTTGAATAAATAAATTAATTTTAATTGCATTTATTTACTAAGAATAAATAAATAAATAATGGCATCGACAGTACAATGAATAATAAATTAATAGTAAAAATCAATTTGGCATATCAACGAAAACTTACCGAAAATAATGAAAGCAAAATATGCGATTAAAAATAATTATAATAAAAATTCTCATTTGATTTACTTGTACAGCGAAAGTAACCTACTTATTACTTTTTCTTATCGCTTGAAAAGCTACGTAAGTTAGTAAATTGAAGCAAGAATAGAATGAAAGTACTTAATTCGTTATTATTATTGTCATTATTTCTTATTTTCTACATTATTGAGGACTAAACGTAATAATAAAAAATGCGAAAATTATTATAGAGAATAAGTAATTAATCATAGAATAAATTTCTTCCCATCTTTATATTTTATATACAAGATTTTTGAATACTTGGCAGTATAAGAAAATATCTTGGTGGGCCTACTGTGAATTTTTCTTTATAGCCGAGACAAGCAGAGAAACTAGACTGCTATTCTGGAGGATCCGGGTTCGAGTTTGAGTTAATTCAAATATGTTGGGCAGGGCCGAATTTATGAGTGGGCATCCCGGGCATGTGTCCAGGGGCTTCCACAGAAAGAAAATAATAAGAATGAAAACAAGAAAAGAAAGATTCAGGAAATGAAATGCAACAGGCTACATAGTATTTATGAATATCGTATAAATTTAGAGTATAGTGAAATTTGCATGAGCGTTAGTTGTTACAGGAACAAATGTGTCTTGGGGATCCCATACAAACAAATCCATTCCTGATATTGAGCTCTATTGTTTATAAGCAATAAACTATGAATACCAAACGATTTTCAAAAGGACCAAGGAGAGAAGATCTTTCACTATCTAAGTGTCCTGTTGGAAGATGTTTGAACTCATATAATAATTCTCTTAGTACTTCAAGGAGGAAACAGTTAAAGAAATAGTATCATGAAGTAAACTTTTTCATTATATTCGAAACACCATTATGAATATAATAATTAATGTTTTCAGATTTGTAATGAAATATTACAAAGTTTATTACATTGTTTTTTGGAATCAATATCTAAGCTGAAACCTCTAATCTAAAATGACCTCCGTTCTGTACTCATTATTCTAAAAATACAATCAAATAATTAAAAGTATTTCTAAGAAACATAAGGAAGGAAAATCCGGGCGTGTTATTTATTTATTTAAAAAATTAATTAATCTTTATGAAAATCAGTAATAGAAAATCCACGAAATGACCATGACTGTCTTTACTCTTGCTGCGAATAAATATATGAAGAATTATATTGAATATTCAACAAGTGAATAATTTTAAACTAATTTAAATAAAAACTTTAGACTCTAATACACCTGGAGAACAAATTCTGAATTTTTAAATTCATTAGGAGTAAAATACAGTATATAGAATTTAGAACAATATCCTCATATTGACCGTACAAGGTCGAACTCAGCCAGAAGCAATTCAGATTTGTCAATCGTGAGAAAAGGGAATGCGAAAAAGGATAGCAGCATATTATCTTCGACAAGATCTTTGCAAGGGAGAAAAATAATAAAAATATATTCTGTTGATAATATAAATGAAGTAATTCATTATATATTTTGAAAAAAAAAATGTAATTAAATGCTATTTTATATTTCAATGTATTTTATTTTGTAATTTTACATTAAATTTTTTTCTTATTTGAGATTAAATTATAAAATACTGTAGTTTGATTTGTTTTAAAATTGACAAATTCATTTTTATCTTATAAATTTTACACAACAGAAGGTTTTCGTAGAAGGAATTGAGATGCAATTCTCTATCATATATTTGGAAGACTGTACAGATTAGCCCACAAGTGGTCCAGCGGATAAAACCTGATAGTTGATAACACCTAAATAGGGATCAGTTTCACATAGAAAGTCCTCCCTGGACGAATTGCTCGAATATTGCATTGATGTATTCCCTTTAAAGCAAAATATCGTGTAGACTGGTGGCTTATTTTTACGTTTTAACTTTATACAGGAATTTATTTATTGTATTTTATATTTAAATTGTTTCGGAATGTACGTATATCGAACACGCAAGGTTAACTTGTCGCATATTTATTTAAATCTGAACCGTTGAACTTACAAGTTTGCAACCAGATGATGGCCGTTGAAGAAGATTCAAAGCATTCGTATATTAAATTAAGCATATTTCTGTTGACTACTTCTACATAATTAGTCTAAATAAAACTCAATTTTGGACCCATCTCCCAATAAGATAATAAATTTTTCATAAAATATTGTTAGAACTATTTTATTCGTTTAATGTAATAGAATATAAACTTTTAGTTCGGTTTCCCTGAAGGAAGATAAGTTCTAAAAAAGTTTGATTTATTCGAAAGATTAGAACATTTGATTTATTATCAATATAAGAAAGATTTGGAATGATGTCTACAGCTTAAAAAAGTAAAATTGATGAAGCATCATTATATTATCAATCACTGTCATCACATAGCTTTATAAGTCCGCATATCAAATTGATATTTGAGAAATCAGATTTATTTAAATATTTCTTTAAAGATATTTTGAGAAAATAATAAAAATAAGTTAAAGTAATAGAAGTTAAACCTGATTTTATAAGCCACTTGTCAAAATAGTCATGTTATTCAATGATAAAATATTCTCAAATGAACCATAAAAACATTTTAGATCAATCTTTTAAAGTAATAAATAAAATATAATTAAATTTTTATCCTTGGTAACTGTTGAGAAAATAATAAATTTTACCTGAAAAGATTATCTTTCAAAAACAAGTATTGTGTAGCTCACATAAAACAATTATAGTCAACAAACGTGAACAGAGATTACAATATTTTTGAATTTAGGATATTAATATAACATTAAAATTCTGTATAAAATAATAAAATATCTGTGTAGCATAATAAAAAAATTATATTATTATTTTAAATTTGTTTAATTAAACCCACAGATCATTTATAATCAATATATTAAGAGCTAAAATTAAACTTTCAAGTGGTACGTTATGCTTTTTAAATATTTAACAGCTGTGGAATGATGTAATCATAGATTATAATATTTACTTTTTTATGTTATTTTGTTATACTATCTTCAATTTCTTCATTATGAATTAACGAAGCAAGTATGCTACATCAAAATGATGACGTTACATTACAGGAAAGACAATTTCATGAATAAGTTTAAAATTTAATTGTTTAATTAAGAATAACCTAATCAGTAACTTAACATTATATCAAAAGAACAAGCTTAAAACGCGACATTCTAAAAACTTTAGGTGAGGGGACTGAAATTGTTGCCTGTCATATTTCAAATGAGAATGAGAACTGATAAATTATATATAAATTTAAAATGAAAAGAAAAATTTTCATTATTATAAACAAAACAATGCTCACATTTTATAGAAGATATAAATATAAATTACAGATTTTAAGTTAGGATTAAATTTAAGGAATCTGTCATTGATATAGAAATGGTGTCCCAACCAAAGGGGTCGCGACTCCCAGGATCAACAACCAAATTCCAGGATAATGTCACGGCCTTCCACTACTCCAAACGGGGGTCGCTAACAAAAAGAATTAGATAACACCCTTGCATATCAAGAACAATATAAGCCTACATGAGTGTCCACAAAATTAAAAATTTCTAAAGTTATAGCAAACCATTTAATCAAATTATAATATATTCAAATATGAATTAATCCATTTAAAAATATTTTAAACATTACAAATAATGAGATTAAATTAATTAAGTCGTGAAAACATTAAAATATAATAACTAAGTGTTTATATATTAAATAATATTATAAAATAGTCTTACTGTTATATACGAAAACCATCAGAAATAATAGAAAAACACTTACTGTCAAGAATTCTTTGAAATGGTTTTCTGTATTAATAAAAAAAAAAGAAATATAAAATAAGCAAATGTTTCAAAATCGAATCGTTAAATCATAATAATTGAAACAAAAATGAGAGTAAATTTGTTTAATTTTTGTGTATAAACGTCGATATCTTACCTTGAAGCACTTGCAAATCCTTTTTGTCATTCCATGTTTTCGAATCACTCAATTTTTGATAAGTTTTTCCAAATTTCCCATGAATGATGAACTTGGACATTATTTGGTTTAACTGATTAGGCAACTTGTAACAATCGTTTTATTAATTTGACAGAACAATGAATCCATATCGTACGTCACCCGATTGTTAGAATACGATCGAAATATTTCATTTGGCCGATAACGTAATTAAAAATGTTTAAAATATTATAAAATTCATTCAAAAATAACTTAATTATAATGTATTAACAGATCAACACATACAGTATTTCAATGTAAATTCGATTTAATTAACACAGTAAATACTTCATTAAGAGATTTGAAAAGTATTTTATGTTATTTTTATTTTTATTCAGAAGAATTGATAAAAATTGTAAAAATAATCATTAATATTATTTATTTAAATAAGCAGGAAGAATATAAATATGTAATTATTCATGGCAGTACTTTCTCACACATTAATTTATTTCATAAAAGTTATTGAAATATTCAGGTAAAAGTGGATTTTATATAAAGTAAAATTATCTGTTAGATTTTATAGACTGGAAAAGAACAGAACAGACAGGTAGTACCTGCTTAACACGAAACGAAACTACATTAAAATAACCTTATCTTTCTCTTCATAAATCAAGATGTACCAAGTTAGAAGTAAGGGCGGTTCTGTAGAACGAGAAAGGTGAAATGCCAAATGCAAATGAGAACTAGAAGAGAATAGAGAGAAAGTATAGAATTTCTCACGTGTATATTTAAAGATTTTTATAGAAAAATCTCATATATTTAGTGATAAGTGTACCTTATGAGGCGAAAAAGAAAAGAAACGATATCAAGGACGTTGTATTGGCCAAACTTTCCAATAAGGCGCAACACCTTCTCAAGGCAGACAAGCAAAACGGAGTCAAAACCAGTTATAAGCCAGTCGATGCCTCGAGCCACAAGTAACGGGAACTGTGTCACAACCCATGCACCGTTACGTGGATGCCGGTTACCTAGATCGCGCAGTTCGTCTTCTGCTAGTGAGCGGGTTGAGTTGGGCTAAGTATCGTTCGGAAATCTATAAAGGAATGAACGTTACGTTTCGTCCAGCTCTCTAGCTGTGGGGGGTTTGGATGTTTAGTTTCATACCATGGTCCGGCAAATCGTCATGTCGTATCTATGGTCCAACAGGTAGCTATGGATTGGTGTGAGAAGTGGTATCGGGCCATTTACGTGACCCTTTTATTCACAGGTGAGTGCATATCTATTTTCGTTTCTTGCCTTTTTTTAAATATTTTTAGTAGCATTCTCGCTCGATAATAATTTCTAATATTTAGAAAAATTAAAAAAAAATACAGTTAAGTCTTTGGGTCGAACACTTACGAGCACCCTACACGCTATAATTACTTGGATTTATTATTAGTCTACTAGACCTAATTATAAATTGCAATTGCTTTAATTGTCAAAGTTTATTTTTCTGTCTCCTGTATTTTTGTTTCGATATATCGTTTTAACTATTTTCCCTCTTTTATATTTTCTATAATTAAATAGTCATAAATAACCGTATACGAATATTAAGAAAAAAAGAATCGGCGCCATAGCCTATAGCGAATAGGGTGAATATTACATAATCCGAACAGGGAAATTTTTATATTATAAATATTTATTGGCAAAAACTGTTCTATAAAATTATAAATATTCTTTTGTTATTTGTAATCGAAAATTCGCTTACAAACATTGACATTAATATCTTCTTTATATTAGTACTGCTTTGGTATATCGTCTCTAAAACTAATATATATGTATGTTTTAATAAATATACTAAAAAGTTATCAAGTAAATCGGAAGAAATGCAGTTTATCTTTATAAATTCACTAGTTAAAAGAGATAATAAGAAAGGAAACTCACCAAACCTATGCCATCCATTAGACTGTATATCATTGAATTTATTCATTCACCACGCGTGTTTACTGTAATGAAGTAGATAAATTTTATTTCTCTTAATAGCTTATTTAAATGTTTAATTTAATTTACTAATCTACATTTAATTTATTTATTTACACAATTTTATCCATTTACTTAAAAATATTTCTTTATGAACTTTTTATTTATATATTATCAATAAACTATTTTCTCTCATATTATAGTATACATGACAGTATATTTTTATATTTAAGAAGAATTTTTTGATCAAATCAAAACAGGATTTAAACGTATAAAAAAAATATGAAAACACGTGTTCTATTTAAAATACAAGTCGCATTTTTTTTTTTAACGAAATCAAATGAAAAGAGAACAAACATTTTCTAAATAAAGATTAATAAAACACGATCTAAAAATGTATAAAATTAATGTTATCAATATTATTTTTTAATAGTAAAAATACCGTATTTTATTTTTATAAGGTTTTGGAAAGTTTAATATATATTAAATTTTTTTAAAAATTGATAATATACACATTATTAATTAAACTCCATTTTAAATTTAATTAAGATTGTATTGTAATTACTTAACAGTTAAAAATGTTATACTGTCAAATTGTAAATTATTCAAGACGTTTAACTTGTAACTGTAAATAATTTCAAAGTATAAGGAAAAAAAAAATGTGGTTTTAAAAAAGAAAGGAGAATTTTTGATGTTCTTATGTTTATTTGTATTATTTATTGCACAAAGCAATGAAAGCATAAATGGTTTAAGTAGGAGTACAATTAAGATATTTTGTTTGTAATAATTTGTATTTGTACTTTAATAAGGAATTAAGAAATTTTGTAGGAATCCGAAATAACACCATTCTTATTGTGAATAATATAGTAGACTCTTGCTAATCTGAACTCTCAATAATCTGACACTCTCACTAATCCGACACTCATCCGCACAAGAAATGACCGGATTAGCGAGAGTCCGCTGTATTTAGTTCTGTAATGTACTGTACATTACATATGATTATATATATGTAATTATGTAATGTGTATGTGTGTATATAAGGAAAATTTATTATATAAAATTTTAAAATATTACTTAAATAGCTTAAAATTTAGTTTAATGCAAGCATTTTGTTTAATAAAATTTAAATTCAATNATATCTTGGTGGGCCTACTGTGAATTTTTCTTTATAGCCGAGACAAGCAGAGAAACTAGACTGCTATTCTGGAGGATCCGGGTTCGAGTTTGAGTTAATTCAAATATGTTGGGCAGGGCCGAATTTATGAGTGGGCATCCCGGGCATGTGTCCAGGGGCTTCCACAGAAAGAAAATAATAAGAATGAAAACAAGAAAAGAAAGATTCAGGAAATGAAATGCAACAGGCTACATAGTATTTATGAATATCGTATAAATTTAGAGTATAGTGAAATTTGCATGAGCGTTAGTTGTTACAGGAACAAATGTGTCTTGGGGATCCCATACAAACAAATCCATTCCTGATATTGAGCTCTATTGTTTATAAGCAATAAACTATGAATACCAAACGATTTTCAAGAGGACCAAGGAGAGAAGATCTTTCACTATCTAAGTGTCCTGTTGGAAGATGTTTGAACTCATATAATAATTCTCTTAGTACTTCAAGGAGGAAAGTGTTAAAGAAATAGTATCATGAAGTAAACTTTTTCATTATATTCGAATCACCATTATGAATATAATAATTAAATGTTTTCAGATTTGTAATGAAATATTACAAAGTTTATTACATTGTTTTTTGGAATCAATATCTAAGCTGAAACCTCTAATCTAAAATGACCTCCGTTCTGTACTCATTATTCTAAAAATACAATCAAATAATTAAAAGTATTTCTAAGAAACATAAGGAAGGAAAATCCGGGCGTGTTATTTATTTATTTAAAAAATTAATTAATCTTTATGAAAATCAGTAATAGAAAATCCACGAAATGACCATGACTGTCTTTACTCTTGCTGCGAATAAATATATGAAGAATTATATTGAATATTCAACAAGTGAATAATTTTAAACTAATTTAAATAAAAACTTTAGACTCTAATACACCTGGAGAACAAATTCTGAATTTTTAAATTCATTAGGAGTAAAATACAGTATATAGAATTTAGAACAATATCCTCATATTGACCGTACAAGGTCGAACTCAGCCAGAAGCAATTCAGATTTGTCAATCGTGAGAAAAGGGAATGCGAAAAAGGATAGCAGCATATTATCTTCGACAAGATCTTTGCAAGGGAGAAAAATAATAAAAATATATTCTGTTGATAATATAAATGAAGTAATTCATTATATATTTTGAAAAAAAAAATGTAATTAAATGCTATTTTATATTTCAATGTATTTTATTTTGTAATTTTACATTAAATTTTTTTCTTATTTGAGATTAAATTATAAAATACTGTAGTTTGATTTGTTTTAAAATTGACAAATTCATTTTTATCTTATAAATTTTACACAACAGAAGGTTTTCGTAGAAGGAATTGAGATGCAATTCTCTATCATATATTTGGAAGACTGTACAGATTAGCCCACAAGTGGTCCAGCGGATAAAACCTGATAGTTGATAACACCTAAATAGGGATCAGTTTCACATAGAAAGTCCTCCCTGGACGAATTGCTCGAATATTGCATTGATGTATTCCCTTTAAAGCAAAATATCGTGTAGACTGGTGGCTTATTTTTACGTTTTAACTTTATACAGGAATTTATTTATTGTATTTTATATTTAAATTGTTTCGGAATGTACGTATATCGAACACGCAAGGTTAACTTGTCGCATATTTATTTAAATCTGAACCGTTGAACTTACAAGTTTGCAACCAGATGATGGCCGTTGAAGAAGATTCAAAGCATTCGTATATTAAATTAAGCATATTTCTGTTGACTACTTCTACATAATTAGTCTAAATAAAACTCAATTTTGGACCCATCTCCCAATAAGATAATAAATTTTTCATAAAATATTGTTAGAACTATTTTATTCGTTTAATGTAATAGAATATAAACTTTTAGTTCGGTTTCCCTGAAGGAAGATAAGTTCTAAAAAAGTTTGATTTATTCGAAAGATTAGAACATTTGATTTATTATCAATATAAGAAAGATTTGGAATGATGTCTACAGCTTAAAAAAGTAAAATTGATGAAGCATCATTATATTATCAATCACTGTCATCACATAGCTTTATAAGTCCGCATATCAAATTGATATTTGAGAAATCAGATTTATTTAAATATTTCTTTAAAGATATTTTGAGAAAATAATAAAAATAAGTTAAAGTAATAGAAGTTAAACCTGATTTTATAAGCCACTTGTCAAAATAGTCATGTTATTCAATGATAAAATATTCTCAAATGAACCATAAAAACATTTTAGATCAATCTTTTAAAGTAATAAATAAAATATAATTAAATTTTTATCCTTGGTAACTGTTGAGAAAATAATAAATTTTACCTGAAAAGATTATCTTTCAAAAACAAGTATTGTGTAGCTCACATAAAACAATTATAGTCAACAAACGTGAACAGAGATTACAATATTTTTGAATTTAGGATATTAATATAACATTAAAATTCTGTATAAAATAATAAAATATCTGTGTAGCATAATAAAAAAATTATATTATTATTTTAAATTTGTTTAATTAAACCCACAGATCATTTATAATCAATATATTAAGAGCTAAAATTAAACTTTCAAGTGGTACGTTATGCTTTTTAAATATTTAACAGCTGTGGAATGATGTAATCATAGATTATAATATTTACTTTTTTATGTTATTTTGTTATACTATCTTCAATTTCTTCATTATGAATTAACGAAGCAAGTATGCTACATCAAAATGATGACGTTACATTACAGGAAAGACAATTTCATGAATAAGTTTAAAATTTAATTGTTTAATTAAGAATAACCTAATCAGTAACTTAACATTATATCAAAAGAACAAGCTTAAAACGCGACATTCTAAAAACTTTAGGTGAGGGGACTGAAATTGTTGCCTGTCATATTTCAAATGAGAATGAGAACTGATAAATTATATATAAATTTAAAATGAAAAGAAAAATTTTCATTATTATAAACAAAACAATGCTCACATTTTATAGAAGATATAAATATAAATTACAGATTTTAAGTTAGGATTAAATTTAAGGAATCTGTCATTGATATAGAAATGGTGTCCCAACCAAAGGGGTCGCGACTCCCAGGATCAACAACCAAATTCCAGGATAATGTCACGGCCTTCCACTACTCCAAACGGGGGTCGCTAACAAAAAGAATTAGATAACACCCTTGCATATCAAGAACAATATAAGCCTACATGAGTGTCCACAAAATTAAAAATTTCTAAAGTTATAGCAAACCATTTAATCAAATTATAATATATTCAAATATGAATTAATCCATTTAAAAATATTTTAAACATTACAAATAATGAGATTAAATTAATTAAGTCGTGAAAACATTAAAATATAATAACTAAGTGTTTATATATTAAATAATATTATAAAATAGTCTTACTGTTATATACGAAAACCATCAGAAATAATAGAAAAACACTTACTGTCAAGAATTCTTTGAAATGGTTTTCTGTATTAATAAAAAAAAAAGAAATATAAAATAAGCAAATGTTTCAAAATCGAATCGTTAAATCATAATAATTGAAACAAAAATGAGAGTAAATTTGTTTAATTTTTGTGTATAAACGTCGATATCTTACCTTGAAGCACTTGCAAATCCTTTTTGTCATTCCATGTTTTCGAATCACTCAATTTTTGATAAGTTTTTCCAAATTTCCCATGAATGATGAACTTGGACATTATTTGGTTTAACTGATTAGGCAACTTGTAACAATCGTTTTATTAATTTGACAGAACAATGAATCCATATCGTACGTCACCCNTAATTCATAGCGAAGAAATTGAAGATAGTCTATATATATATATAAGTAAATAATGCTTAAATTTTTGGTAAATGATGGTAGAAAACTATTCATTTAATAACAGTTGTTAACATAAAACGGTCTGTTTGTTTAGAAAAACGATTATTTTTGAGTCACTTTTGTTCCAGGTGATAGATTTGCTTTCTTAACAGTATTTTATATGTATTAAAGATTTTCTACAACTACAAAATGTTAAGATATCGAACGAAGTAGAACAGTTATTGCCTTAGGAAAATTTTTATACAAAACAAATCGACATTTTCTCTACAGGGTTTAACGAACTGTTTTTTTTTTTTTTTTTTTAATTAGACTCCCCTAAAATATGCATCATCATCTACATAAATGTAATTATTAAATTATTAATTAATTAATTAATTAAACAGTTTCATTCATGACGGGCGAAACGTGAGTAGGGTTGCACGCTCTTAAATTAATTTAAAAAAAAAAAAAGAATATTTTTATGAATGAAAATGTGTAAAACGCCTTTTTTGGTTCGATTCATTCAAAATATTTTACTGAATTAAATTGAGTTGGGTGTTACCGAAAAACCTATTTATCACGGACATTTTTGTTTAATATGACAATTCAACAATACAGTAGCTTCGGTGATTATATATTTTTTAAAATTGTATATTGTCTTCTTGCACGATAATTGAATAAAAACGGCTCTAATTTATATGAATAATATAGAAAGAAATGTCCTTTCTCTCTTCAATCCCTTCATTGTTTTCTTTTCTTTTTTTCTTTTTTTAGTTTGGTTGGTCGGTAACCTAAAGGGTCATGTATACCGTTCATCACCACGTTTGTTGCGTGACTTTGCGTGACAGATACGATGTTTCCGGGTCACGAAGTAGAAGATTCACGAAAATGGGAAGATGGGAAAGAAAAAAAAATAATAAGTAAACTTAAGTCAAAACTCCGAAACAAAATGTTAAATATACTCTTAGAGAGATCGAGTGGGTTACTAACCCATTTTGTGCAATGGGATATATAGATTAAGCGGTTTTTTAAGTAATGATACCTTTCATTTATTCACGGTGCACTTGACAATAGACTGTAAGATATAGTAGTGCACAAAATTTAAGGAGTTTCTTCCCCCTTTCGCTGTTTTTTTTCTCTACAAACAATGCATTTGAGGCACGCCCATAACAGGTGTTCCACCTACAACTGATAGGTGCTCCATTTTACAAATCATAATCATGTGACATAGCTAAAGTAACTTAATAACATTATATAGAACAATTGACTTCAATCTTTCATTTAAAAGTAAGTTTATCTCGTAGGATAACAATAAACCAAGAAACAAAATGGTTCCGCTTTGTTTTTCTAGTCATATGGAGTGAAATTTCGTTTTTTTTACTAAATTTAATATTCGAAAAATAAATTTTACCAATTCTTTTACTACCTTTCTTTTTTCCTAATGGTCCCTGAAGCTGTTAAACCTGTTGATAAAATCACATTAGTTTACCGACGCAAGGCCGCTAACCATGCTGAATAAAAAAAAAATAAAAATAGAAAACAATAAGAAAACCGGACAGAGCCGTCTTGTCTAGTTTAAAAGTACGAATTGGATTTTAAATCGGCTTAATGGATAAGAGAAAGTTGTAGGACGATGTTATTAACATGTAAATACACAAAATAGGAAGGAAGTGTCTACCAGGCCTTCGGGCTGAGGTCACTGTACTCTATTATAACTACAAAAGTAGCATCGTATATGTCAAATTATTTCTTAAAATATTCTTAAATAATGTTTTCAATAATAATTTATGATTTATAAAGTGAAAATATAAAAAAAAAATTATAATTTTATAAAAAATAATTTTTGATTTTTTTTTCCGTATTGCCATGTTACACTTTTAGGGGTCGCTTTAATCGTCACGTGATAATTGTAGCAGACGACCTAGAAGCAGAACAAAGCGGCTATCTTCGTTATCTGAGATTAATTATTCTTTTGTCTCCCTTTTTTTTAAAAATAACTGGACTTTAATCGTTCATTAAGATGAATTTAAGGAAAATTTTCAAAGCTTTTATTATCAGCAGCAGTTTAAAATTAATGAATTGTTATTTATCAACGTAACAGTTTAAAAGAAAAGTAAGAGTTAGGCCTAAATTTGTATTTAAAATTAAAGGAAAAGTACAGTCGAACCCCCCTACAACACTGTTGATAATTCCGTTTTATATGAATTCCGTGTTATACGAGTCACTTAGATTTTACAAATACGTGTGCCGGGCTGTGAACGGCTCACGTATTTGTAAAATCTAAGTGACTCGTATAACACGGAATTCATATAAAACGGAATTATCAACAGTGTTGTAGGGGGGTTCGACTGTACTTTTCCTTTAATTTTAAATACAAATTTAGGCCTAACTCTTACTTTTCTTTTAAACTGTTACGTTGATAAATAACAATTCATTAATTTTAAACTGCTGCTGATAATAAAAGCTTTGAAAATTTTCCTTAAATTCATCTTAATGAACGATTAAAGTCCAGTTATTTTTAAAAAAAAGGGAGACAAAAGAATAATTAATCTCAGATAACGAAGATAGCCGCTTTGTTCTGCTTCTAGGTCGTCTGCTACAATTATCACGTGACGATTAAAGCGACCCCTAAAAGTGTAACATGGCAATACGGAAAAAAAAATCAAAAATTATTTTTTATAAAATTATAATTTTTTTTTTATATTTTCACTTTATAAATCATAAATTATTATTGAAAACATTATTTAAGAATATTTTAAGAAATAATTTGACATATACGATGCTACTTTTGTAGTTATAATAGAGTACAGTGACCTCAGCCCGAAGGCCTGGTAGACACTTCCTTCCTTCCTATTTTGTGTATTTACATGTTAATAACATCGTCCTACAACTTTCTCTTATCCATTAAGCCGATTTAAAATCCAATTCGTACTTTTAAACTAGACAAGACGGCTCTGTCCGGTTTTCTTATTGTTTTCTATTTTTATTTTTTTTTTATTCAGCATGGTTAGCGGCCTTGCGTCGGTAAACTAATGTGATTTTATCAACAGGTTTAACAGCTTCAGGGACCATTAGGAAAAAAGAAAGGTAGTAAAAGAATTGGTAAAATTTATTTTTCGAATATTAAATTTAGTAAAAAAAACGAAATTTCACTCCATATGACTAGAAAAACAAAGCGGAACCATTTTGTTTCTTGGTTTATTGTTATCCTACGAGATAAACTTACTTTTAAATGAAAGATTGAAGTCAATTGTTCTATATAATGTTATTAAGTTACTTTAGCTATGTCACATGATTATGATTTGTAAAATGGAGCACCTATCAGTTGTAGGTGGAACACCTGTTATGGGCGTGCCTCAAATGCATTGTTTGTAGAGAAAAAAAACAGCGAAAGGGGGAAGAAACTCCTTAAATTTTGTGCACTACTATATCTTACAGTCTATTGTCAAGTGCACCGTGAATAAATGAAAGGTATCATTACTTAAAAAACCGCTTAATCTATATATCCCATTGCACAAAATGGGTTAGTAACCCACTCGATCTCTCTAAGAGTATATTTAACATTTTGTTTCGGAGTTTTGACTTAAGTTTACTTATTTTTTTTTTCTTTCCCATCTTCCCATTTTCGTGAATCTTCTACTTCGTGACCCGGAAACATCGTATCTGTCACGCAAAGTCACGCAACAAACGTGGTGATGAACGGTATACATGACCCTTTAGGTTACCGACCAACCAAACTAAAAAAAAAAAAAAAGAAAAGAAAACAATGAAGGGATTGAAGAGAGAAAGGACATTTCTTTCTATATTATTCATATAAATTAGAGCCGTTTTTATTCAATTATCGTGCAAGAAGACAATATACAATTTTGAAAAATATATAATCACCGAAGCTACTGTATTGTTGAATTGTCATATTAAACAAAAATGTCCGTGATAAATAGGTTTTTCGGTAACACCCAACTCAATTTAATTCAGTAAAATATTTTGAATGAATCGAACCAAAAAAGGCGTTTTACACATTTTCATCATAAAAATATTCTTTTTTTTTTTTTAAATTAATTTAAGAGCGTGCAACCCTACTCACGTTTCGCCCGTCATGAATGAAACTGTTTAATTAATTAATTAATTAATAATTTAATAATTACATTTATGTAGATGATGATGCATATTTTAGGGGAGTCTAATTAAAAAAAAAAAAAAAAAACAGTTCGTTAAACCCTGTAGAGAAAATGTCGATTTGTTTTGTATAAAAATTTTCCTAAGGCAATAACTGTTCTACTTCGTTCGATATCTTAACATTTTGTAGTTGTAGAAAATCTTTAATACATATAAAATACTGTTAAGAAAGCAAACCTATCACCTGGAACAAAAGTGACTCAAAAATAATCGTTTTTCTAAACAAACAGACCGTTTTATGTTAACAACTGTTATTAAATGAATAGTTTTCTACCATCATTTACCAAAAATTTAAGCATTATTTACTTATATAGCCTATATATATATAAAGAGAAAAAAATGGGAAACACGGTATATATAAAAAAAAACAATTCACGAAAAATTACACAAAATAACTCTATAGGGACACGACACTAACTTTGGACAATAGAAACGTTGTTAGCAATTACTAGAATTTTGTTTAAAGTCACGTCAACAAATAATCAGGATGTTTATAAGATATGTCGTCCATTGTTTTCACTTATGATTGAGGTTGGGAATTTATGTCGATCGAAAATGCTGTGAGAATTGAAATTCGTATCGTATTATATAGTAGCAAATAGCTCAGAATTGGATACTTGAGAGTGAAATGATGTTAGGAAAATTGATAGAAATTGATCCTGACCAGTTCTTAATCGTTTTAACGTGTAGTCTACTAGGATTGATCTCTCTTGTTTTGCGATTTGAAGCAATTTTATAGACATTTCCTGATGTTTCTAGGCTACAATGTCAAGGAAATAATTCGCATACTGTTCTTTTCGCAGTTCTAGTTCGTGTTTTTGTTATTAGAATATATTTATAAACATTAAAAACGGAAACTTGATCTCATTTTCCATGTTTTTAATGCAATAAACTTCATTTACAACTTAAATATTTATTCTAAATTTAATTATTTTCAGTTCTAGTTCAATAGTAAATGCATATTTAACATAATTTTAATTGTTATTTTTCGTATTAACTTCCTTCTAAACTATTAAAATATACTTTTTTTTTTACCCCGTGATTTCGATACTTACTGATGCATTAAAATTATTAGATTAATAAAAATTGAGTCGTCTTCACTCGTGTTCCAAAGCGTGACTTAACTTATTTTATGCGAGGAACAAAGGAAAAAAATATTAAAGATTGTATCGAGGTAAAACATTTTTGGAATAATAATGAGCTTACGTTAATTATATATATATATATATATANATGTAATTAAATGCTATTTTATATTTCAATGTATTTTATTTTGTAATTTTACATTAAATTTTTTTCTTATTTGAGATTAAATTATAAAATACTGTAGTTTGATTTGTTTTAAAATTGACAAATTCATTTTTATCTTATAAATTTTACACACAACAGAAGGTTTTCGTAGAAGGAATTGAGATGCAATTCTCTATCATATATTTGGAAGACTGTACAGATTAGCCCACAAGTGGTCCAGCGGATAAAACCTGATAGTTGATAACACCTAAATAGGGATCAGTTTCACATAGAAAGTCCTCCCTGGACGAATTGCTCGAATATTGCATTGATGTATTCCCTTTAAAGCAAAATATCGTGTAGACTGGTGGCTTATTTTTACGTTTTAACTTTATACAGGAATTTATTTATTGTATTTTATATTTAAATTGTTTCGGAATGTACGTATATCGAACACGCAAGGTTAACTTGTCGCATATTTATTTAAATCTGAACCGTTGAACTTACAAGTTTGCAACCAGATGATGGCCGTTGAAGAAGATTCAAAGCATTCGTATATTAAATTAAGCATATTTCTGTTGACTACTTCTACATAATTAGTCTAAATAAAACTCAATTTTGGACCCATCTCCCAATAAGATAATAAATTTTTCATAAAATATTGTTAGAACTATGTTATTCGTTTAATGTAATAGAATATAAACTTTTAGTTCGGTTTCCCTGAAGGAAGATAAGTTCTAAAAAAGTTTGATTTATTCGAAAGATTAGAACATTTGATTTATTATCAATATAAGAAAGATTTGGAATGATGTCTACAGCTTAAAAAAGTAAAATTGATGAAGCATCATTATATTATCAATCACTGTCATCACATAGCTTTATAAGTCCGCATATCAAATTGATATTTGAGAAATCAGATTTATTTAAATATTTCTTTAAAGATATTTTGAAACAGTGTAATAGTGAAGATGCATCCATCTTCATTCTGAAAATATCCCCGTTATAGCACGTGTTCTAATAATGAGACGGCACGTAAGCCAAAACACATCACGTGCTCGTGACGTTTCCTGTATATTTACACTCATTGTATATCATGCGTAGCCTACAATGATTATTTCTTTTTCATTTATATGATAGTAAATAGTTTTATTTATAGAATTTTAAACATATATATATATAAATTATAAAAAATAGTCGTTTAATTATTAATTTTTAAGTATTTAATGTTTATTTATTTATTTAAATTTATATTAGTTTGAATGAATTAAGTGTTTAAATATAATATTTTACTAGAAATTATTGGAGTAAGACAAATTAATTTATTTGTCTTTATTTATTTATTTACATAACGAAAAAAAATAAATAAATTTAAACGATTTATATAAAGCTTGAACTTCTCCAATTGTTTAAATAAAACAATAACTACAATTATTTATTATTTTTTATTTAGACCCATTCAAATCAAATTATAATAAAATTAATATTTTTTTGCATCATTTAATATTATTTTAAATGCAAAAATAATCTTGCTGTGTCCTACCAGTTACAAGAGCTTTAGGACACAAGTAAGAGTGTTTATGTATGACATAATGCTTTATGCTATATCATACTAGCTAGTAAGATATAGCATAAAGCAGTTAAAGATTATAGTTTTAATATTGTTCACATAGAAAGTATGAGAAGATGAAGTAATTCTATAACCTTTAAGAAGAGAATGTTTATAGCATCTGTTGATAGGAAATGAGGATTAAGAAAATTGTTAAAAATATTTTTAGAAACGTCATTTTTTCCTACATAGTACAAGGTATGTAAGCCTTGTATGTAAGCAAGGTATGTAAGAAATCAATGAAAAAAAAAATAAAGACTTGCAGAATTTCTGCTAGAACGGAATAGATAGAGTAAAGGAGCTTGAATATACAAAATCGACAATTAAAAAAAATCCAGCAACGAGTTGCTTAACTTTCCAGGCAACATTTAAAATTTTGGTGCGCCATATGTTGTTATATTTTATTTTAAATAAACTTTTTATACTTTTAATTATTATAAAATGGCAAATGCTTAATTTTGAGGATATGGATGGATTTTATAAATAAATAAATAAATAATTGTAAATGCTAAAAACGAGGAAAATCGTCATTAAGTCCGACCCTACTGGAGATATGACACACGACTCTCCTTTATTTCTCCACTCTGTCGACCTTTAACCACCAAAATTTAATAGCATCAATTCCCCTAATATACAAACCTCCCAGCAAAGTTTCGGAGATTTTCTCAAAAGGAAAAACACAGGAAAAAAAACCCAAATTTTTTGCATTTCTCGGCGTTTCAAGGTCCTCTGAGTCCAAAA